ATGCTCGAAAAAGCAGTGTTTTTACCTTTCATTGATTTTCTCGAAAACTGTAATATATAGAATGAATCCAAAAGATTCATATGAAAGCTGAATGTTTGGGGAATCTAGCAAGTATGGATATGTTACTGTGGTTTTAGCCGTTTGGCTGTAATTTGTGTTCAAAGTTTAAAAAATGCTCGAAAAAGCAGTGGTTTTACATTTCATTGATTTTCTCGAAAACTATAATACATAGAATGAATCCAAAAGATTCATATGAAAGCTGAAAGCTGAATCCATATTGCTGTAATGCGCGTTCTTTTATGAAAGGGGAGGCGCCAAATCATTACATACTTTTGAGGGAGGCGTAGTAACATCAAGTTTGGAAACCACTGATCTAGTTAATTAACCCTTAGACTCATCTAGATTTGTTAAAATGAATATTTGTGAAATAAGCCGTGACTCTGCGTACATAAAAATGAAAGATGTATAAGACAATTTTATTTATAGACATTGTTAACTTAAACATGGATTCATTTATAAATTATATGTAGATTGAATGCATTGTAGGATAGGACAAATATAATCAAAGAGAGCTACTACGGACGATATTAATAATTATTGAATACAACTTCCACGTCGATAAATAGCAATTATAAAATATTTATTTGGAATAGCAATTAGATTTTATGCGGTGTTTAAGGATGTGCTCTGAGCTTTCTTTATGATGTGACCAGATGATAGTTAGTAGGATGCATAAAAAAGGCCAGGTATAGAACCTGAACGCTGTAACGACTGGTTATAGATTATTAACTCGGAACGTGTTATAATTAGTTGTCACTACACGCCCTTTCCTTTGTTTATTGCCAGTGATTTGCATAAAAAAAATACACAAACACATTGTGCCCGTTTCCACCCCATAAGCAACGAAATTATGAAATATTCAATTATAAATAACATATTTATTCCTCTCGATGCATAAATTGTGACCAATTATAAATGCATTCAACACACTTGATCGTTATGATCGGCGATTCTTCATTGCATAACCATCAAAAGCAATGCGCGTGTTCTTTTTTTAATTTTATTTATTTATTTTATATAATGCCTTCGGATGATTATATGGTTTATTTTAAAAGACAACATAAAGAAGAATAAATCACGAGAGTGGTGTGAATCAAAGGTGTAATGGAATTCCTGCGTGGCAAAGGAAAAAGGGTGTTGCATTCGGCCTGACTATCAACAATCTATAACAACCCATAATGAGTAGCCGCACCGTCGAATTGATTATGATTAATAGAAGGCACAGTGTTAAAACACTGCCTTTAAAAACGTCCATACACAAACATGATACTGCCCTCTGGCAAGTTCAATATTATAGCAACAACCTGAACCAAAAAAATCATCACGCTCCACTTTTTTTTTTGTTCAGCTTTTATTTACCCAATAAATTATGTACAAATTATGTTATTATTATAAAACTTTTATTTTACTATCCTTAATATTATTAAATGTCAACAATCCAAATAATAACAAGAATAATGAAAAATAGATTTCCAACTCTTCATATATATGTGCTAATCCAGACCTTTTGTGACAAAGACCCTGTTTTAAGATATAAAAAAATAGGAAGCCGAACCAAACATTACGATCACTATTTTTACTTGTGAAATTAATTTCCCACAATGGAGAGACGCTGGTTGTAGCCCCCTGTGCTAAGCGGATATAAATATTTATGATATATCAGTCTCGGTCAACGAAGAGTTCCAAATAGGAAGAAATCTAACAACGAACATTTTTTCAAAAAAGAAATATGTTCAGATAACATACACATGTTCGGACAAACTCATTACCGACAAATTTATGTTACTTTTGGTGTTGATATGAAGATTAAGTTATTTCTTTAATCTTTGATCTATTTATGAATAATTCAAATTATGTCCGATCAAACAAAATAATAAAATCTGTATGCTTTAGTAAATTTAGAAAATACTACTTAATATAGTTGTATGTAATATGTATAATATATTTAATTCTTATTGAATACATTTAATAAAAAATAAATATGAATACTATTGAGATAATGAATAAGTATATGGTGGTGCAGTACAGCTACAAAATGATAAATAAAATATATATAGAAGAAACTATACAATGAATGAAGGAAGGCGGAGAGATGTGATATAGCGACGGGTGAAAATGGTAATACCACGAATAGATGTTGGAACAATGATGGAGATAACGACACCTAAGCTAATAACTATGATGATTTTTGCTTTGTGTTTAATAATATCGACATCTGATTAAAAGTCGAGTCAAGTATACTGTGACTGTCGATTATAATATTCTGGATGCATGTGTGATGAATAATTCCACGTGGTATCGCCCTTTTATCTGCTGCGAACGGTCTCCTCCTTTTTTTACACGTATTTTAATAAAGTCTTAAGTACCTAGTTTCTACCCAGATGAATTATAATTTGGTAGTCACGGTATCAATTTAGCGCCATCTATATAAAATCACGTACACTTTATTAGGTATATATAGGAGTATTTACTGGCTTGTAACTTGCTCGTGTATCTCGTTTGCTATACATTTTTTTACTATTTATATACATGGAGCCGGAGTTGTCGGCATGGAGCAGAAAGAGAACGGACTATAATTATAAGGAGACGCAGACACCTGCTTAAACATAAGTGGGCATTTTGTGTTACAGGAGATGGATATTTGGTGTTTTTCGCACCATATAATATTTATGCGAGGCGCGGCCGAAGAGCAAAAAGAGAAGAAGGATAGCCAAGATGAAAGTTAATAACGTGTGATGAAATTACACATTTAAAAACTTCCTCTCCACCACGAGCACTGGACCTATTTGAATAAGAACAACCCGTGTCCGTATAAAATTACAATTGCTGATGGCGATCAAATTATACATCGCTGCCTTAATTGTGTAACTTTAGATAATCACCTCTGACAGAACGATTTTCAGTTTTGTTCCGTTTTTCTTTTCGGACTGCGAGACCTATTATATCTACATTACCTCGGCGCGCATTATGCTATAAAATGTTAAATAGTTTCAATTTAATCACTGTTATAAATTTTAATGTTTAACTTTAAACGGAAAATTGCGTCCAAGCATAATTAAGCTATAAGATTTAATCCATAATATATTCCCGGCCAAAGTGTGAAAATTAACAAGCGCGACGCGCAAAATATCGGGAATAAATTCCGCTATAAAATATTTAATTTGACAAAAAACGAGAACGAAGTATAAGTGCATAATGGCAAGCAAGTTTTTTGTACAGAAACGACCAAACCTGATGTACATCTCCTTATTATACACACATACACACTCAAACAGGGTATTACCATACAAAAACAATAAATCAATCGGCTGTTAGATTTGAAGCGAGAAGTTTGTAATCAATTTCTCACACATAGCGAGATCCACCGCTCCCTATTATTAGCAAACTAATTACAGTAATATCTGATCGTATCTTCTATTCTCTACTTTCCATCATAGTAATAAAAAGTCTATACCTGATTCCTACGTGCGTGCTGTATGTACACAATAACGATTTTAGATAAATATTTTCTTTATACAAAATAATAGTGCTTTGGTTTATCAAAAAACCATAGTCACTACATAACTGTTAAACTTTCATAGACATAATTTAATCATAAATACTATCTTTACTCATTTATTGATCAATTTTAATATCTAATATATTTTAGCACAAGGATTTATAAAAATATTACAACAGTTACATAAGTATATCAGTGAACAAAATCAGGAAGTTTTTTTCTTCTTCGGCAATCTATCTGATATAGACATAAACTGAAGTTGTGGCTGTTATAAAAATAAATAAATCAGAAAGTAGATCAAAATAAATACAGTGGCAAAATGAATTGTACGAAAAATGACTCGCTTAACGAGCGACGTTTCGCATAATGAGTGACGATAAAGAGAAGAGGAGTCTCGTATTGCGCGCCTGCTACATCATTTTTAAAACTTGTGTACACACATTATGTATATTTTTGAATATGTTTCACTATACGAGTAAAAATACAGAAATTTTGGAACGGATTAAACTCGTTAAGCGACGTTCCACTGTATATTGTAAAAGGTTATTGGATAAAAATGTCTGTATCCGAAATAATATAATTAAATTATTTAAAGTGTTATGTAAATATGGGTTATATTCAAATATTAAATGTGCTTAAACTATTCATTATTATAAAACAATTAAGTTTTAATAACTAAATACATATATTAATACCATCATTATATTTCTATTTTCCAATTAGAAAATTATGTTTATAAACAAAAATAAAATCAAATAAAAATTAAAAAATGCATTTACTGTGTTAACAATTATATAACACTTCAAATATTGGTTTTACGGCGGCATCTTTGTAGCAATGGACACACTACAATTAGAAAGTTTGTAATTTGTTGAAAGTTATGAACTTATGCATTACATTTTTATAATCATATCACTTATAGTGAATAATACAACATTATAAATAGATAATTGAATATATTTAAATGTTTACTCTTTTATTAATTACTAATTTATAATTAATATAACATGAAGATATAATGTTGATTATACTGCTGGAAATAAAGTAAAAAATCAACTCTTAATGAAGAAGATAAATATTTAATATGTCATCCAAATCAATATCTACTTGTTCTTCGAAATTAGATATAAAATAAAGATAAATGTGGGAATTCGTAAATTTGAATATAGTGTTGCCTATACAAAAATATATGTAATTTCTTAATTGAAATATTTTTTTTTCTTTAAAACAAATGAAAATCAACCAACATTATAAAATATACACGTTGCCCATATAATATTGAATTATAAATTTCTTCAGTTCCCTTCACATAGCTTGTGAAATTATAAACGGATTAGAAATTTCAATAGAAAAAAGTACACAGAGTAGCCAACGTGATTTTGACATTTTAAAACTAACCCAATCTTGTGCCAAACCAGTGCCAGTGCTAGTATCGTGTAGCACATGTTTATAGTTTTTGTATCAAAATGAGTAGAAAAAATAAAGGATCTGGTTCATTAGGAAGAACCTTAATTAAGGACAGATTCGGAGGAGGAAAAGCCAGAAAATATACAAAGGACAATTCTATGGTAAGTAAATAATTAACATTTAGATTATTCATTACTGAACATGTTTATCTTTTAGCTACATACAACTGAAATCCAGGATGGATATGATTGGGGAAGATTAAATTTGCAATCAGTTACAGAAGAATCATCATTCCAAGAGTTCCTTTCAACAGCTGAATTAGCTGGAACTGAATTTCAAGCTGAAAAACTCAACATAAAGTTTGTGAATCCAAAGACCAATATTGGATTATTAACAAAAGATGAAATCAAAAAGGTTAAAGCTGATCATGAGAAACATAAAGAAATAATAAAAATCCCTAGAAGGCCTGTATGGAATTCAGAAACAACAACTGAAGAACTACAGTTAAAAGAAAAAGACAGTTTTTTGGACTGGCGTAGATCGTTGGCAATATTGCAAGAAGAGGAAGGCTTGCTTTTAACTCCATATGAAAAGAATTTGGAATTCTGGAGGCAATTGTGGAGAGTTGTTGAAAAAAGTGATGTTGTTGTACAAATTGTTGATGCAAGAAATCCACTTCTCTTCAGATGTCAAGATTTGGAAAAATATGTTAAGGAAGTATCTGATGATAAAATGAACATGATTCTAATCAATAAAGCAGATTTTCTAACTGAAGAACAGAGACAATACTGGGCTGACTATTTTACAAGTCAGAATATGAAAGTTGCATTTTTCTCGGCAGTTTTAGCTTCTGAAGCCATTGAGGAGGAGGAGGAGGAAGAAGTTGAACCAGATGAACTGAGAAGCAGAGAAATTGATAGTGACATCAAAAGTAAAGTTAAAGATTTGGAAGAGGCAGTTGACAGAACTGCTGACAAATTGGAATCATTAACTAAAGAAATTGAGAAGAAAATAGAAGAACTTGCAGCTGGAGAAGAATTGGAAAACAAAGAAGAGGAATTCAACTCCAATAAATTATTAAATCGAGATGAACTTATAACTTTATTCAGGAGTGTTCATAATAACAAACGGGTAACTGAGAATATTGCCACAATTGGATTAGTGGGTTATCCAAATGTTGGTAAAAGTTCTACTATCAATGCTTTGATGACTGTGAAAAAGGTATCAGTTTCTGCAACCCCTGGTAAAACTAAACATTTCCAAACATTATATTTGGATAAGGATATTTTATTATGTGATTGCCCTGGGTTAGTCATGCCAAGTTTTGTTTTCACTAAAGCAGAAATGGTTATTAATGGCATTTTACCAATTGACCAAATGAGAGATCATGTACCACCAGTAAATGCTGTTTGTCATTTGATTCCAAGACATGTAATTGAAGATAAATATGGAATTATGATTGCCTTACCAATGGAAGGTGAAGATCCTGATAGACCCCCAACTTCAGAAGAACTCCTAAATGCTTATGGATGTAAGTCACTGTAAGCACAAATAATTATAGTCAAAACTAATTTGTGTTGTAATTTTAGACAATAGAGGCTTTATGACTGCTAATGGTCAACCAGATAATCCTAGATCAGCTAGGTATGTGCTCAAAGATTTTATGAATGGTAAACTGTTATATGCCAATGCTCCACCTGGAGTTAAACAGGAAGTATACCACATATGGCAGGAGAGACAAAAGTTTCTTTCTGAAAATCACGTAAGACCCGCTCGTGAAATTAGAGCAGGGAAAGTAAGTTATCTTCATAATTTTCTACAAAGAATAGAATTTTACTATAATCATTTTAGACCAACAGAGTAACAACAGAAGATATGGACAAGGTGTTCTTTAATACTCAAAATCATGGTGTTCACGTTAGAGGCAATAACTTGCCAGCAATGTACGTATGAATGTTCCGAATTTTTTGCAGTAATTTTTATTATTTGTTTATTAGGTCGAGTAATGGTCAACCAGATGCAAAACCTTGGAGAAGTTTAAATAAGCAGAAGAATAAGAATAAACGAGAGAAATCCAGAAGATTGTATGCCCATTTGGATCAACATTAATTTGTTTTTTTTATTTTTTTATTATTATATAAATATTGTTATTTTATATAGATGCAATATAAAATATATTTATGAAGGAAGAACAATGTTGATTTATATATTTAAAATATATATACATATGCATGTATATACATAAATCATTGTAATTAACAGCTAACTGTAAAACAAAACCCTATATATTTCTGTGTAATGAAATAAAATAGAAATTAATATTTACATAAGTAGAATTACTTATATTCTTCAATTCAGTTAATTAAAGGCAATACTGTGCAATATGGGTCTTTTACATTTCTCCTCAAAATCATGCAATACTTCATCTATGTCGTTGTCAATATCTTCACTCTTGGAAAGCTAAAAAAGAAATAATTGTATAATAAAATAATGTTGAAATTTAATTAATGAAAACTTACCATCATACACAAGTCACTAATAAGGAAAGCCCCAATCGTAGCTTCTTCTAAATTGTCTTGAATATCAACATTTACTATATGAACAATTGAATTGGTAACAGGTTCCCGATTCTCCATGCACTCCAATACTTGGTCATAAACTCTCTCTTCACAAGTAATTAATATATCGAATAAGTCCTTATTCTCTTGGAACCTCTCTGGATGAGATTTAATTCTTCGATTTCTATCTAAGGTATGCAATAAACCATTCTGTGTATATCTGGAGAAAAAAGAAAAACATTAATATAAAATACATTAATCCCAATTTAAGTGGAAGCTTACAGGGTCTTGTCTTTGCTCAATAGATCTTTATGAATCTCATCATAAGTTATACCAAAATCGTAAATATTTGGTTTATCAGCTGCAGAACCTGGTAACTTGACTTTGTCACCTGTGCCAAATGATTGTACTAAAAACCCTTTTTTAGCAAGAAATGCATGGGCTTCCATGCTGCGATTCATATTGCTGGAGCAAATCACCGCAATACGAAGATCACTTATCGGTTCCATTTGGGAATATATATTGTTGTTGTACTGTAGCTTTGCAACGAAATGTTGTAATATTGTCCTACTCGTCTTAAGTTCTCTAACCTCAAACGAGTAAAATGATAAATAAAGAAAATAACAGACAAGACATGAAACAAAAAATGGAAGTATATCGTCAGTCGTCTTGTGTGTGTGTTTCTAATTAAATAAACAAATGTGAAAATAAAAATAATTTAAGAAATTATTTTGGTCGAAGTCAGGCAATCGACAACATCGACAGCAATCGACAGGACCCGAAACAAGCTTGCCAACAAAATAGAGTGAAATGTAGCTGAAAGGAGTTAACTTCAAAGGGTCAGAAGGGTGGTAACAGAATTGTTTTATTCTTTTTATTGTAAGTTAAGTTGGTAGCGTTGACGTTTTACAATGGACGCTAAATGCTATATTATTGAAATTTAATATTAGTGCAAAATAATAATAAGTTTCCACAAATATCTAAAATTTCCTATCCGGATTATTACATAGTAAGTAATATTACTTTGGCCAATGATACTGTAGTGGTTAGGAATGTTGAACAATACGATCCTTGTATGTAATGCACGTAACTATAAACATTACTTTGTGTATAGCAGATACTAAACAAAACTGCGAAATTAGTATACTATGCAGTTAAAACAAATAATACACTACTCATATGTTTATTTATCAATCAATTCCTTATATTCCCATCAATTTACTTGTATTTATTCAAAAACAAATTACATGAAAGTATGCTCAAATAAATGGAAACATGTTGTATAATATAAACATTATAATTATTTCACTTACAAATGTTCTATAAATAAAACAATATGTGGAGGATTAGTATTAAAAACGAAACTCAATATGTCATTGATCTATGGACCCTAGGAATCCGTTCCACTTGATTTCACATAAATATATAAATACATTTAACATCCTAAATTACATACAATTAACAAACATTATTTTCATGCAACAGGATTAATGTTATTTTTAGTTTTAATATAATTTCTAATATTGTTCATATTATAACTATTTGATACAATTCTAGTGATATTCCCAATGCCAAGCAGTATATCGGATAATGTATTTGCTTCATAATTCATCAGATATGATCGGATAAATATATCAAGTATTGAGGGTAGCCACAAGGAAGCAAATGCCATTATATTATAACCCAGTAGTGATAAGTTAGGATCATCATTTTCACTTCCCATAGATAGTTTGGTATGCTCATGTTTTGTATAAAATAATGACAAGAAATAACCAATTACAAAGAGAATCAGCGTGTGTATTTTTAAGGGAAAAGTGCTATAATTGCAAATATTCTCCTTCATTGATCTTGCGTTTCGTCGATCAATTTTAAAATCGTACATTACTGGTACTTGAGTTGTTGAATTCGGAGTTGACGTCGCAGTTGACATTATTCCATAAATTTTATCAATTACATTCTTAACTTCCGTATGATTGGTGGAAATGTTCATAGGTTTGTCTATTATCTCTAAAATTTGACTTGGAGCCGGCTTTATTTCCAATACATGTCGAGTGGCAGATGTTTGATTATCCGTTCTTAGATCCATTGTATAAAACACAATCACTGTGTAAATGATAGGTATCAACCAATTAACCAGTATTAGCACATTCTTCAAAACGTTCTTCCTTGTCAGATTTTCTGATTGACTTTTTTCGTCATCGTTTAACATTCTGGTTCTGCCGTCATTGCTTTTCACAAATATCCTCAAATTGTTCGAACCTACAGCGTTTTCAATGTCACAATGTTTACAGACACATGTTGCTGTAATTAAAGATATTAATCCATATACAAAAGATGCAACCATCATAGAGTATTTAATATAGATATCTTCGATATTGCAAGGCCCTTGTTCTTCGTTTATATCAAAAGCTCTGCTGTTACGTGTACTTTCGTAGTATTCATTATTAAAGTTAACGCTTTTTAATCCATCGTTTGATACTTTCTTATCCATAACATTTTTTAATAGTATTTTTAAATTTTCCATATAATTAGCCATATCCACGTTACTCATATTTGTTTTTTTCTCATCGATATCTTCATTCACTTGATTACTGATGAAATTTTCTGCGTTGAATACATTCTTTAATATTTCCGATTTACCTATTAGACTTAAACGTAACTGGTTTTGATCGATAGTTGCGCTGGTAATGTTCTCAAATTCAATGTTACCATTTTGTGTAATGTGCGTTCCTGAACAAGATAGGTAAAATATTCCCAATGCAATAGTGGCGAACGCTTCCGACAGATATAAGATTGAGACGTTTCCTCTCACGATCAATGTATAAATCAAAAATATTGATGATATTATACCAATTAATGTTAACACGACACCGATTATTAATTCAATAACGAACATCTTTGTTGTTAGTTGACTAGTGTAACTAATATACTAACTGCTTTTAAAACGTGCATTATGGACTACTCGAAAAATTAACGGTACTTCGTTTGATGGGGGTTCATTATCTAATCGGTCAAAAATGAGGGCTACATAACATTACATTTTTTAAGAGCAGACTTTACAAAAAGAAATCGATTATAGAATTAAAATTTTCTTATAGAAATGCCTGTGCGAAGATCAGCAGATCCGCTGAGTGTCCAATATGTTTGGGATGCTATTAAGTATTCCAATCAGCAGAAACAAGTGGCCGACTTAGGTCGCATTGTAAAATTCATCCAAAAGGTGGCAAACTGTTCACAAACGCAAGCAGAACTATATATTAAACAAACAATTGATGATGATATGATAGTGTAAGTACTGTACATAAAGTGTACATTTATTTATTATAAAATGCATTTATTATTTTAGGGAAGTAAAAAAGTTGGTTCATAAGGGTAATAATATTGGGAGCGAAGTGGAAAGTTACAAAATTAACAGACCAGAAGAACTTGAAACAGTAAGTTTATAGATTGAAGAAAATATAATAATAATAATATTAATGGAATAATATTTTTTAGCCTACAAATGATGGTTATGATTGGTATTGTATAGAATGTCATTTGGGCGGAGACGTGAATACATGTAGTAAGTGCTACAGAGTATTCCACTTGGAATGTTCTACAAATGCAAGACATAAGCACACATTTTTCCCCAAAGCAAAGTACTTGAATACTGTGGATAATCCAACAACTGTGGCAACTGAAAGTATTGAGCCTGCACCAGATGCAGATAAAAAAGAAGAAACAGAATCTAGTGTTGTGGAAGAAACAAAGGAGAATGACGAGGAAAACAGTGGGAACAAAGTAAATAGTCATAGCAGTGCTGATTATATTTACGATGAGACATTGTGCAGTCATTGCAATTTAGAAGCTTCTGATCCAGGAAGTGGCCTTGACAAAGAAGAATTTAATTACTTATTGAATTTCATTCATCTTAGAATTAAATCCTGGGTATGTTTTGTCTTAAAACGCATAAAGATATGAATTCATTAAATCGACAAATTTTAGGTACCGGAACAATTGACGAGTACTTTAACATTGGAGCAAAAATATGAATGGTATACACCATCTGAATTGAAATGGAGGAGTACCCAATTATTTTATCGCCATATAGATATGTCAATTGTGGAATCAAAGATTCAATCAAATGATTACGAGAAATTTTCAGAATTCCAAGCGGACGTGGTAACAATGCTACATAACGTAGCCATCTTTCATGGTGGTGAGTATTATAATAATGCCGATAAATTCTGACGAATCTGAAAGTATTGCATTCTTCCAGTGGAGTCCCAAGAATTCGGTGCCGCCGAATTGATGTTGAGAGATATGAAATACGATATATCCGAGTTACAAAACTGCGTTGACTGCTATAAACACAGTAATGAGAAAATTAATGATAAATGGTTCTGCTTACCATGCAGAGTGCCGCATCAGCTGGTATGGGCTAAACAGAAGGGATACCCTTATTGGCCAGCTAAGGTAAACTTGAATAATTATCTTTATCTAATTAAAATAATGCATTTTTATATTTAGGTACTAAGAGAAACTGATACAACTTACGACGTACGGTTTTTCAGTGGTAAATATGAACGATCAATTTTACCAAAAAATTGCATTAAACCCATATCGACGAGTTTGTCTCAGTTGAATGTAAGTTGAATAATTCTATTAAATTTGTCATTGAAATAAACGTTTTCAATAATTTTAGGTAAAAAAGTCTTTTGCATTTAATAAAGCGGTGGTGGAGCTAAATTTACATCAAAAGTTATTGGATAATCCGACGGAAGTTGCGAAAATCCTTTCAGTTAAGAAACCAAAAAAAGCGAGTAAACCGAAAAAAAGTCTATCTCCAATTGTACAAAAATCTAATGCTGCTAAACCTGTGAAGACCTCCAGCACTGACGACATTTACGAGTTTCATGATTCACCTTCTGATTTCGGTGAAAAGAGTAATGATGGACTTGGCACTAAACGGAAGCAATCGTACAACTCAGAATGTAAGATTTTTAATTATTTTTCAATAGTATCTCTATTTTATATGTGTTTCTGGAGCTATCATATTTATCACTAATCAAAGTATACCAATCATTTATCCGTAATTATTTAATATGATTATAAAGCAGCAAGCTTGAAAATAATTAGCTGTTTCAGTGACGTCTTTTGTATTTTGAGGCCCCTGGCTTTAATATAAAGTGAGGCCCGTCAGTAAATAAAAAAAAGAAGTATATTGTGAATAAACATCATTTTTTTTCATGGATAAAAAATGTGAACGGGGGTAAATTCATCGGACATTCGCCCCTACCTTAACGACGCTACTGAGCTAAAATTTTAACTTTATCATAAACAGCTGCATTCTACCTGACACAAGCTTTAAAAAGCTTAACTTCGAAAAACTTTCACAAACTGACCATTCAGGTTTTTTGGGAAGAGTTCGTTTTCTCAGTATTTTTACCTAAAGTAATAAAAATAAATCTGGTATATACAATATTCACAAAGGATAAATAGATGGGTGACAAAAAAAAATGCTGTACCCAAAATTGAAACAGCTGCATGTTTAAAAAAAGAATTAGCAATCTTATATTTAAGGTATGCAATAAAAGTAAATTCTTGTGAAGTTACAAAATTCTGAGATTATCGTTATTGTTAGTTAAGACGCTTAGGTAGCCAGTACTAAGAAGGATTTATTCAGTTTAGAAGATCCAGGGGGCACAAAATAATAGTTATGGCTACCTTATATAATATGAAATTTAATATTTCATGTATTTAAAAAAATGTTTCCTTAATTTTAGCTCCACTATCTAAACCAAAGAAGAAATTACTTACAACACCGTTAAAAACAAATAATCAAAAAACACCCAACAAAGATCCTCCACAAGACGTTCCAAACATATCAGACGTAGATGTAGACGAGGAGAAAAATGAGTCATTTCAATTTCCACAAGAAAATTGTGATTTCAGGTAAGAAACTTGTACTATTAGAAGTACAACTAATTAATATTAATCTTATATTTGTATTAGTGATGGTGGTCAGGAACAAGTCACAAGTTCAACAGAATTAGTGCGAGAAGATACGTATAATTCTAGAGAAGGAACTGATACTGGGATGCAGAAACTCGATCAGCCATATAGTGATGCAGTTGAAAGGGTATTTTTCGTTTAAACTAGTTAATTGAACTGTTTAAGCATGTATGTCTTTTATTTTTAGATGAGGCGCAAGTTGGAACAGTGCAAAGATAAGAAGCAACTTATTTTACAAGCTATGGATTGCATGCAGATAGAGACTGATCGTATAACAAATGAACACAATGACACGTTGAAAAAATTATTTGAAGCACACAACACACAAATTTCAGAAACAAAAAAGAAACAATGGGTAATGTTTGCTCTTCTATTAAATTGTTATCAATTTATTTTATTGACTTATAATATTTTGTTTTCTCTTTTTAGTGTTTCAATTGTGAGCAAGATGCAATATACCATTGTTGTTGGAATACGGCGTATTGTTCTCCATCGTGTCAACAGCAGCATTGGCAGGCAGAGCACAAAAAAGTCTGCAGACGTAAGCGGTAGACAGGAAGGAAGAAAGGAAGTAAACAAGTTGTTATATAAAAAAAATATATATTATTCTTAGATATTTTATTGACAAAAAAAAAGCCAATCCACAAAATCCAAGAATTTATCATCTGCATTGGCATATTTTTTTTATTAATATTTTCTCTTTTACTTAAAAATAAGATTTAAAAAAAAAGCGTTATGTACATGAATAAAGTCAAAGTTTTAATTTAATGTTTTCTTTATTGTTGAAGCGTTATAAATAAATAGATAATTTATGTAATTTACATTATTCCTTTACTTCGATAAATTCCACATTCTTGAAAGCGGTAGAAATGTCGTTATGTTTTTCTAAAAACTGCAACTCTTCTGTGGACAGTTGCTCGCCTAATTGCCTGAGCGCTATTAAAATTTCTCCCTTCTGTCTATCAATCGCTTCTGTAGTGGATTTGTTCAATTTCAAGTCTTGCTCAAGATCAAAGAGTTTGTCACGTAGCTGTTTTGGTTCTCTCCTGCCAAATAGCCTAATAACTTCTGGTGTTTTAAATGCTTGTGATATAGCAGCCTGCGTAGCCTGAAGTAGTAAGGTTTTGTGAAAAACTACTATAATCATTATTTTTCAAAAAACACTTATTACCAATTGCATTGCTCCTAGAGTACTTATTAAAGAAATGTCTCCTTTAACCAATTTAGTTAAACTGTCATTTAATTCTTTGAGCTGTTCCATGGTATCTTCTTTTGTTTCATTGTATTCTTCACTATCTAGCTCATCTCTAAAAACCATCATAATTATAATGCTAGTAATATTAAATCATTATAAAATACTTTACCGACAATTTTCTAAATCCTGGAGCTGTTCCACTAACCTATCTAACTGACACTCCAAATTGTGCTTCAGTTTTTCAGTTTCTACTTTTCCAAATGAATTCATTTTGTTATACTTACATATACTACTATTATTAAGAGATTTAAAATCTTCAACAAAATCTTTGGTTAAGGTTTGACAATTGATTTTGACGTTTCCACTGAACTTTTATTTTTTTTGTACATTACAATTTATATGCACTCAATAAAAATCTGTAATGTTTATATCTTAGAGATGAAGTATAAATACTAGCATACCAAGAGCTTTTCATAAATATAAAGATTTGTAAATAAAATGTCAATATTTATTATCTATGTTTTGAATATATACAATGGATATTATTAGTCAATATAATATTTGTTTTCGTTTTTAATTGATAAGTTCTGTTTATGTATTCTTATTTCAAACGTAATATGAATTCCTAAATAAATAAGAGTAGCCTTGTTGCCATTTTCCTTGAACTTTCTAATGGGACATTCATAAAACATATGTTCCAATTTGTTTGGATTCTTGTCGGGTTTGATATGGTCTTTGAAGATTTTTATATGTAAAAACTAAAAGATACTAAAAATGCGTATTGCGTTTTTTTTTGTGGATCGCTTTAAAAAGAAATGTAGTCAAAAAAAACTTGTGATCGAAATTTGTTTTAGGAATGACTATATGGTATGTTTACCATGGATGGCATAGGTTTTTGTTTGGGAAAAATAGACAATTGACAGTTAGATGCACAAATGTATGATTTTCACAGGTTTGTCAACGATGCATCGGGGATTCAATTTTTCGCCGCTAGTTGTGCATCAGTAGCAACGTGAAAGCCGCGTGTCATTTTTAATAAAAAAATATATTAATTTTAATTTAAATTAATTAGAAACTGACATTATTTTACCTAGAGTGGAAAGTGTTCGGAACGAAGAACTTCTTTGGAAGGTCTGTGACAACTCCCGCTGGGAAGTGCACGAAGGTTCCATGAAAAAAAACATGTTTTTGGGTTAATCATCCGCCATCTTGAAACATATCTTAACCTTTGAGTTCAAAGTGGTTGTGCAAGGAATTTAAAAATCGCGAATCATCGTTGATCCACCAATTGAACAGACCCGATGAACGTGTCCAAACAATATGATACCGAATTGTGAGTGCGTTGTGACGTGCAATTTATGAACATATGTATATCGGAAGATCAGATTCGGGGTGGCTGCTATAAGGGACGTTGGAGCCCCAGGGCCGAGATGAGTGGCAATCAAAAGCAGGCACCGCAGGTGGTGCCCCAAGCCCGTTTTCCACAAGGCTCGTATCCTTTTTTATTTAAACAAAACCTAAGTTACGCCCCTTTCTATATGCGATGTATTTTCGCAACTGTCAATTTGTGAATGCACCGACCGATTTCGAAAGATTGATATACCTCTCCAATGTGATGATGACGATGATTATCGTTATTATGATTATTATTAGTATAAAAAATATTAATTATAATACTTGTCAAAAAGAATCATGATATATGTAGCAGATGATCCAACCCTGTACCACCTGACTTGTATATCGCGAGCCGCTATTGGTCCGATTATTGCTCATTGTTTAAACATTCGCGTATTTTGAATATTGTTACTATCTCGAGTTAGAATTGGCTATCTAACTGATTGGTCCACTAAAAGCGACGCAACTATGTTGTGTGCTATTAGGTTATGTTTAAAATAAGTGTCCTAATTCACATTATCACATGATTACAAACTATTCTAATTATGTACGTATTATAATTATATAAATTAATAGCGAGTTGATGCAACTGCATGTTGGAGATTATGAGAGTGAGAATTGCATTTTATGTTTTGATTATACTTGTAAGCCAATACACATGCAAACAAAAAGGCAGTTCCTAGTGTCAGACCAGTTGCTATAACTTTCATTAGTGCAGTGCACATTCACCTGCCTTGCTTGCTGGCTGTGGTTATACATCCATATGGTGTAGGTCACTGTCAAAAAAATATATTGTATTTGGGCAAATATATACATATCCTTTTCCTGGACACGTTATGCAGGTATGCTAGAGAAATTTCGTTTTTAAACTGCGAATTCGCGAGTGCTTTGTGTGTGTTAGAAAGTCGGGTCATGTAATCATTTGTCTTCGTTATAGGGGCGTATTTTTTTTTTAATAGAAAATTTCGTCTTTGATAATAATTGTCGCCCCTTATTATTTTTTTTCGACGATCGTACGGCAATGGATTCCATCCGGAATCTGTATACAAATTAAAGACAGAATAGGGAAAAAGAACATTATGTAAGTTTTCGCTAGAATTTCATGAACCATATGCCACGCGTTTGAAACTCGGTACATACGAGGCCACAGGTAAGGAAGAACGGATAATGGTAACCGTCGAGTACGTTCCGTATGTGTTTATTTACTTATAATTTACAGCGAAAGCTACGTATTTTTGGTTGTACTTCTCGGAATAATATGGTGCCGTGCAAATCAACATGTTGATCGCAGCATGCATTAAAATATCTTTGTTGTCAGATGCGTTTGACGTTCAACCCTCAAGGTTCAAATGTTGATTATCATTTCATTGTTGATAAAGTGACTTCTAGGTATAGTCCGAACCATTTGTAATTTTTTTTTTCTAGGGTTTCTATCGCTATGGTAGTTTTCATAAGTTAGGGCGGGAGGGGGTGTTCGAAATGGCGGTTGGTAGTTATTTCGTGGGGGTAGTTTGTATACCCTCTAGAGGGGGGAAAAAAAAATTACAAAAACGTTTTTACTTTGGGTTGATATCAGTTCGAGTGAGTCAGTCGGCGTGAACATTTGTTCTTCGCCAAAGTTTAGGCAACACTGTTTAATGGTGAACACGCATGCGTTTATCGGTTCCTGGTGGTGAAATTTGTAACCAAATGGTACAGTCGATATAATGGCGTTGTCGGTAAAATGATATTTTGACTGGGATACGTTTGAAAAAGACTTCTTTTATATTAAATAAACGTTGTGATACCAAGTCGAGCTCATTTCTGTGAAATGATTCGTTAAGTAGACTCGTTTTAGAACTGCAAGTATATAACGAGTAAATTCAGTGAGTGCATTTACATCTGTGGTTTCCTTGTGGAGTTGAACAGTGATTTCTAAAACGCCCTTATCGATTTTTATCGTTTGGTGCAGCGAGACGTGCTCTAGATTAGAGATTACAGTTTTTGCCTGTCCAACACCTTGTGGTCTGCAAAAAAAATTGAAGAAATAACAACTCGTGTTTCTCTACAAGAAATAAGTAAATTTAAAGAAATATTTGTAATATAACCAAGTTTATATATCGATGGGCAAAAAAATCGAGTCGCGATAAAAATACTCCATTTTAAAACAGCATTAAGAAACCTTAACTTATTTAACTCAACAACATAATAGATACTAGTGCTACTCACGTCCGTATTCCATATCACCACGAAGTGTTCCTGTACAGAATTAAATTGATTTAAAGTACAGTACTGCTACTCCATAAATGCAAGTGATTGGCAATCTTATGTGGGGTCTGAAGCTTATGAAAAATGCGGAATATAATTTATGAAGATCGAAGTATTCTTTATTTATACATCCACATAGAAGCAGCTAGAAGTGGCCTGAATTTTTTCAGAACTTATATAAACCAAGTTAAAAGACACACATTTTGATAATTACAATTTTATTTAAGCCGACACGCAAAACATACATTTAAAATTAAGAACCAAGTAAACTAAACCTCCTAAAGTGGACGGAAACAGATAATACCATTTATTAATATACCAAAAGTAGAGTAAACAACCACCACCATGGTTTCGCGATATGTAAACAACAAACAAGAAGGAATATGCCTTCTACAGCAACCTCAACCTCAGTTCCGTATGGTACAACCACACAGTAAGTTTCAATTTTACTATATTGTTATTGTTGTTTTATATAGTAGTTGTTTATTTATTCTCCTAAATGGCATGTACAACGAAAACAAACGCAGCACCGCTCGCTCAGCCTGTTTTCTGATACACGATGTTTTTGTTATTGCGCAGCCATTATTTATTTAGTTGTCTCCTTCATCATAGCGAAATGAAGCCAGAATCATAAACGTCTGGGTTATTCCTCCTTTTACACGCCAAAGTTGTTTTCCACCTACGCATTCGACGGGTTCAGGTTCAACAAAATAACCACCGTTTGTTGATTCGATTTCCATCTTGTTCATTTTGTTCCTATTGTAGTATTTATAATATTATTTAAATAATTCTGAATATGTTTATAAGGATGGAAACCAAATCCACTAACATTATAAATAACTTTCCTTTATTTGCGATCATAGTAAGTACGTGAACTGCAGCCAGTAATGCAATTTGACGTCCTTGAATTTTCTGCATTACTTTGACCTTCACTCGTTTTTTTTTTTGTTGAAACTATTCGTTGCATAATTATATAGGTGCATTTAAGTTAGAAAGTTTATTGTTAATTCTTAACTATAGTATTTGTGCACGCATTTTATTTTTATATATAGATACATGAAAACGTAGCTTTCGCCAGATCTTGGCTTAATTGAAGCTCAAAGGCCACTGTCGACCCGACCCATTTCCATGACCCACAACGCGATGCACTTAAATGCTGCTCCTGCATACGATCTATTGATTTTGTTCCACCTACAACTGCATTTCGCAAATGTATAATAGAATACTCTTCAGTATCAATTTATGCATTCTTTTGAAATTTTTTCACAAATTGACCAATTTGAAAGCTGAATATTATTATTTTAATTTATGTAAATACGTAAAATATGTTTCCTTAATGCTATTTGTCAGTTATATACAAAATTTACAAAGACCTCCAACACCTCACAACAGTAAGTTAATTTAGCATGAGGCTTGGGTCTAGTCCGTTTTGAAGAAGATCATCTTACCTGTAGAAAAGCTTTGTATTGTTTTACTTAATATTTATTTTTTTAGGATCAGATGTGTTCCATGTAGGGAACCCGCCGTACATGCCTCAACAACAACCACCACCAAATCTACAAGGTAACCCAGGGCAAATTAGAAACATGGGGCCAACAGGACCACCAAACCAGACACCCACGCCTCCTAATGCGGATTTGAAGGTGCCGCATGTTCAGCAACAAACAGCGATGAATATGGTAATATATTATTTGATTTTAATCCTAATGTTTCATCTATCATATGTTATATTAATACATATATAAATTTGAAAATGTGCAGCAATTTATTCCAAGGGGTGGCACATTCTATAGGCCTCAAGGACAGGCGACAGGAAGAGTCATGAATAGGGCTCAAGTAAGTAACAGTAATGAAAATGTGTAAACAAAAATATTTATGAAATCAATGAAATTTCAGAATCAACATCAAAACATCTATCCTCCTGGTTCTCAGCTGATGACTGGATTCTCGCAAGTGCCACAAATGGCATATTTCAACATGGCTTATCCACAAAGACATGTGCTACAGAACTATCAGTTGGTAGGAAACCAACTATCCTACCAATATCCTCATGCAGCTCCTCCGGCTCATGCTCAATGTAAGTACCTAATAAAGATATACTGACAACTTTATAAATTAACATCAATTATTACAGATTTCCAACAATTTAATGCTATTAATGTGCAAAGGCAACCACCAACACCACAAGTGCCACCGATGCAACAGAATATGGGACATCCACCACAACAGAATGTATCAATATCCTCTTCGCCGCAACCAAACAACCAAAATAATAAAACGAGGCCGAATGCTATTCCTATAATCGACCCTAAGACAAGTAATTTTTTTTGGTTTTTAAATTTAATTCAAATATAATATTTAATTTTAATTTACAGATATCCCAGTAAAAATAGACGATTCGAGTCCTCTCTCTAGGGAATCCTCCGCATGTCAAACACCACAACCCGCTGAAATAAATTCGAGTAAAGAGGTGCAAGCAATTTTTGCTAAAAAAGTTGCACAATCTTTAAGTGATGAAGTGTATCCCAATTGTATTTTGGAATATGATGGGGTGGCACCACAAGGGAGTAAACTCCAGGTAAATATGCAATACATACAACAACTATTTGGTATTGATTCATTTTTGACGGTATAGAACATAACGTGTAAATAAATTATAATACAATTAAGCAAAGTATGTTCTCTCGCGTCTGCTGATGTGATGAAAAGGTACGCTTTAGACACAATTATAGAAAATAATATTTAATTCATTCTAATGTAAGCAAGTAAATACTACTTTTATAATTATTTATTTGTTATCTAATAAGGAGTTTGATTTATTTTCTCATAGGTGCCAAAAAAGGAATTTGTCCCAGCAAGCACAATCAAAGAATCCTTCACTCCTGTTGTATCTGCTAAAACAAACTGCGAAGAGCGTACAATTGTTAACAAACCGCAGTTAAAGGATAGGGAAAGCCCTGTTAAATCTATTCGTAAACAGAAGGAACCAACTATTGTTGTACCGAAAGAAAACAAAGAAGTGAAAGAGAAAGAAATTTCTGTTGAAAAACCTGTTATTCAGGAAATCGTAACAGAAAATCCTCCTGTTCTTCCGCCATCAACTACTCCCCCCGCCCCAGTTGTTTCTTCTCCTTCCGTTATCAAGGAAATTAAAGAAAAGGAAAACATTGTCAAAGAAGAGAAGAAATGTGTAAAGAAGGATAAAATGGATTCGAATAAATTGGTTGTAAATTCGTCTGCGCAAGAAGTTACACAAGAACAGCCTGCAGTCATTGCGCCCACAGTAGTGCCAACTGTTCAGCAACCAGATGGTAAGTGCCTATACTTATTATTTTTAATAGTTGAATTATCATTTCACTTATCTCACAATATCACAATTCATTTCGCTCAAAATTGATAATAGTCTTGATTTAAACTTCATGTAATTCGTTATTTTTCGTTGAAACTTTTACTGTTCTATTGAATCTTAAACTTTTTACCTGCAATGTGACAATCATTTTGTAATTCAGGTAAGCTTGCATATTTCTATTGTAACAGAACCGATTTCGGAAAATGTATATTTTGAATTTCCATAGAAGGTCTAAGGTTTTAATTTATGTTAGCAGATGGCTTCATTTTATAGAATACGAAAGAAAAATGTGCTTTGGCTTAAATAACATTTTTAAATTTCAAAAGAAGCAATTATCTATTTACTTTACTTACTACCTGTGTAAAGCTGGAAAGCATGCTTCATTTTTATATTATGTATACGTGTATAGACGTAGTTCCTTGTATAAATGCAAGTTTTTAAAAAGGCCAGGTAGACGAATGTGGGTTCAAGGATTATTTAAAAAAAAATAACAATAGGGACGTTACCATCAGGTTGTTAGTCTTTTTTTTGTTCATCTGTATTTATTTAAATTAATCTAAAAACACTGAAAATCAATTTATTAAGTATATTCTGCTTTTGTATTAATACCAATTTTTATAACTTAAAAGGAACTATTAAAAGAGAATAAGGAATATTGTTAGAAAATAGTACGGTATTTTTTAAGTACAATACGAATGGCTGTAGAAAATTTTGTATAACTTATTTGATACAATAATTTGTTATCAGCAGTGAGTTCGACTTTAGTGACATATTAAATTCTTTAATAGATAAGGTATTTGACGTAACAAGCACTTTAATTCGTATGGAATTGCACGCTGAATGGTTTAGGTCAGTTGCTAGGTCAATGAATCCCCTGCTGATACTTTACTAACCATGCGCCACGATTTCACATTATGTATATTTAAATTTGGAAAGGTATTATAAACGTTGCACTACTTTTTATATATGCGTCAATGATCAAAAGAAACGCGATATTTGTACTCTCCGAATGATATTTAGACACGGAGAGTATATTTTCATATTTTAAATTTTGAAATTGTGAATGGCGTATAAATGGCTTGTCCGTCTGTTTTAAGTAATTATTAAGAGAGATTCTTAACTAATTTAGTTTCTTTTCGAAATTTGAGTCTTTTTCTTGTTACACTGTTGGTATCTTTGGTAAGGTGTGACGTGGGTATATAGGATTTCAAGTTTCGCGCGCATTCGTCGAAAGCCGGTAACATCCGATGTCGAGATAAAATGGCAGCCGGCTGTCTTATTCGCGTCGACCACATGGGTCGTACGCAACGTGGTTAAAAATTGTGCTCAGATTATACCGTATCCTAAGTCAATACTCTCAAAATTATATCATTTTTACATTAGTGTTTGGTAAAAGTTCAATTGTTTAGTTTAGTATAAGTGTAATATGTGATAGATATTTATATATATATATAAAAAAAAAACGGATTTAGTTTCGATTCTCTCGTGACCTTGTCGCGCCATACGTATTAACTAAGTCATTTTGCTTTAAATATCTTTAATACACTTTTCTGTGCTCATCTTTTTTAGTCGTGGTTTAGCCTTTGGGGAGAACGGGCCCCGATCGGTTATCTTGCCTTGCTTTTTTTAATTTTTTTTTTAACAATTTTATCCTCGTTTCGCGATCTAAACTGAAGTCACTAATATAATCTTGGATTAAACAACGTGGACGTGCACATTTTTTTTAGCCTTATATGGGTCCATGGTGCAAGGCACTACCTACATACTCGTGTTAACTCCTACCATATTCTTCGTCAGGTCTAAGAATAGAAGTTGAACCCGGCGTTGCCGGACATGCCGCAGCCTTTTGATAAGGGTAAAATAACTATTTTTTGCTTTCTTTTTGGATATGCGCACGTTTTTTTTTTATAACAAATTTATCGCATATGCTTAGATCGTTCTTATGTAATTTATTTAACAGGCCCACATTTAGAAAGTCACTGGTCTGGTTCACCTTGTTGCAAAATTGTGCCATTTGATTGTCCCAAACTCTTATATTTGATGGGATTTTACAGTTTCATCAAAAAAAAATCTATTGAACATTCTTCTATATATTTCATAGCCATTCTATTTTTTCAACTAATATTAAAGGATGCATTAATGAGATTTAAAGCAGCAATTATGTTGAAATTAATTCGATGGAATATAATTTATATTGTATTTACAGTAGCATGAAATTCTTTCATTAATTAACGGTGGGCAGCAGACTGTTAAATAAAAAGTTCATTGTTTTAACATGAAGGTACTAATCTTCCAAACCCATATATTATAATTGAAATATGCAAGGGCACCTCCCAGCTTTGTAATAGCTATTATTTGAATTCAGACTAAACTTGTGTATAGTTAGGTGCAGTCCTAAATTCTTGATCAGTTGCCAATAAGTTTATTTCTCAAATTAAACCATGTTCTGAATTCCAAATTAGTATTGCTAGAACTGTGCAGAGAAATTAAATATTTTCATTTATTCCATTTGTAAAAGAAGTGGCTGACTTGCAAATCACGCCGCATGTGGCTCATCTCTACACTGTGTGCGGCTCGCCGCGGACTAAAGGTTATAATATTACTCGGTTCCCGTTTAAGGTTCAGCCAGTTGGCCATTCCTGATTTTTATTTGTCAAGTGCTGAGAATTTATTCATTTATTATTGCACTTCACTAGTCTGATTTTACTATCTTTATGTAATATCAGATTATTATAAGTAACAAGTGCTATATAAAATAGGAGGATTCGCTAACACCACTTTAAATCAATAGGTGGAGTTTGATAGTAGACCTCGATGACATTCAATTATATTACTAGTATATATTTTTTTTAATAATGAATAATACATCATTATTATATTTATCAATAATGAAAAATAACGAGTTGTATGTTTATTCATTTGTTTTAAAATATTTGATTTTATGTATATAATTAATGATTTCCTTTTTTTATAGCTAAAACAAAGCAGACTCCACATATGAAAGAAGTTCCAAAACAAAGTGGAACTACTCAAACCCAGAATCTTCCAAAAACGCAAATGATGAAAGCAGCTCCTCCGCTTCAACCTGCGAAGCAAATTAATAAAGTAATTAAGGAAGTTAAAGGTACTAATAAAGAGGCAACAGAAATGGAAACCTTAACTGATAATATTGATAATAATATTATAAGTACACCTGCGGCTGTGACAAGTGACAAAAATACACCAATAAGTGTAAATAATCAGGAAATGAACAAAGCATCTAAGGCAGATGAACCTGTGACAATCAATACCGTTAAACCGGAAATGAACGCTATGCCGAAACCTAGAATTGATGTTACTGACATTGTTAAAGAAAAACCTAGACCATTTGTAGCACCAGCTCCAGTTGAATCGAAAGATGAAACTGATAAAGCCTCTGTGACTAATGAAAAAATAGTCCAGGCGAAGAATGAGATGAATGCTAAAAATATTGATACTGAAGAACCTGCAGATGCGAAATCTGTTCTACCATATAAAGAAAATCAGTGGTCACCTTACAATAAGGATGGAAAGAAACAATATGAAAAGGACTTTTTGATTGCTTTAAGGAATTTCCCCATGAGTAAACAAAAGCCAGATAATATTTTGAACGAAATTGTGGCTCAAGATGACAAATCGCGTCTTGGTGATGTTAGTCGTTATGGGGGCAGAAATGATTTTGCGCCTAGTTTCGGTGGAGGATGCAACTTCTCAGGAAAGTCTACATCCCAAAGAGGAGTTCCTACTAAACGTGGCAGCCAGCAAGGTAAAATTGGAGGAGGCGGTGGCTCAAAGGGAGGAAAATCTGGAAGCACGATTCGTGTTTCGATTTCAATTAAGGAAGACGTTAAGTTGCATGAAACTGAAAATGCCTGGAAGCCAGCTAGAATGAATTCTACAGGAGGTGTTCAAAGCGATGATGATAAGAAAACAGCTGAACTTTATAGGAAAGTTCGTGGTGTTCTCAATAAGTTAACCCCACAAAAGTTTGCAACTTTGATTGATCAAATTAAATCCTTACCTATTGATACAACAAGCCGGTTGCAAGGAGTTATAGATTTAGTCTTTGAAAAGGCTGTAGATGAGCCCAATTTTTCTGTTGCATATGCTCTGATGTGTAAAGAGTTGGCTCTTATGGAAGTTCCAGTATCACCAGGTAGCTCAGAATGTGTAAATTTCCGAAAGCTGCTGATTACACGGTGCCAGGTGGAATTTGAAAGAAACTCTTATGAAGAAACCACAAGAAATGAAAAATTAAAAGAAATTGGCGAATGCACCGATCCGGAAAAGAAAAAAGAGTTAACACTTATCTTGGATGATGATGATAGGCGATTACGTAGAAAATCCGTTGGAAATATACGTTTTATAGGAGAACTTTTTAAACAACAAATGCTGACTGTTAGTATAATGATGAGATGTTTATATATTCTTTTAGAGAACAAAGATGAAGAAAGACTAGAATGTTTGTGTAAATTGCTGTCTACTGTAGGCAAAGAGCTGGAAAATAGGAAAGTTGGATTAAACGACATATTTTCAACTATGAAAGAAATAGCAGATAAAAATAGTAATAATAAAATAAGTAGCAGAGTCCGATTTATGTTGCAAGACGTAATCGATTTAAGATTGTGTAGTTGGGTCCCACGTAGACAGGATCTGAATCCTAAGACTATGGACCAAATTCAGAAAGAAGCAGTAAATGAACAATTAACAAGTCAGGTATGTTTTGAATTTTTATTTATATATATTATTGCACTTACACTAGTCTGATTTTACTATAAATATGTAATATCAGATAATTAAAAGTAAATCGTGCTATATAATAGCACACAGGAGGATTCGCTAACATCACTTTAAATCAATGGGTGAAGTTTGATAGTAGACCTCCAAACATTTAATTATATTACTAGCATTTGTCTTACTTTAATAATGACGTATTTGACTAACATTATAAACTATTCTAGGCACTCAATTCTGGCCCTATTACGCCTAGGAAAGAAGACAGCAGAGGTATGAACTCAAACTTTGGTGACAGAAAGCAAAGAGGAAATGCGAGAAACACGGGTGAAGATGGCTGGTCTACAGCTACAACACGTGGTAAAAGTAACATGCCGTTTGTCCAGAGCGATAAACTTAAAATCAAGCAACCCAACATCGAAGAGCCATTTGGATCTGCTATTGCGTTTGGTAATTGGGCTCGAGGATCGAATGCGAAAATTCCTCAAGTTTCTTCTACGAATACTGCCACCAATATGTTTGCCGCGTTGGCAGTTTCTGGTGATCACGACTCAAGGACTGGAGGTCACAGATCATCATCATACAAAGATTCTTACAATGCTAAGGGATCTAGTTTAGACAGAATTTCGTTTAAACAATATGATGGCCATGGTTCACGTTCCGGATCTCAACATAGATCCAACGATAACTCGCACTCCAATACACCGTCACCAGCTCAACAAGTGTTACCTCCTTCTAAGCCTCCAATGAGACCTGAGCAGCCTGAAATTAAGAAGGTCCATAAAGAGGTTGAGAAAAAATTGGACGAACAGGCAAGAACAAAGCTGATCAACCAATTGAAATCTACATTGGACGAATATACGGGAAATTTCGTGAATTTGAAAGAATGTGTTGAAGATTTTATGGAAGTTCCTACCTCGGAATTGGATTTCATTCTTGATGAATTGTAAGTTTCAATCTAAAATCAATTTGTTGTTCATATAAACATAATTTAATTTATCTGTTATAGGTTCAACTACTTATTGGACAAGTCAAATGATATTAGAAAGAAATGTGGAGGATTATTTGCTCATTTAATAATTTCAAAAATATTACCATTAGAGAGTTTCGCCCAAATAATTGAAACATCATTTTCGTACTATGAAGATGTTATTGTTGATATTCCGAACTTATGGGAGTGTTATGCTCAACTCATCAGTAAGTTGCTTACCCAATGTTAATACGGCGGTAATTTAATAAAAATATATTTTTTCAGGTGGTTCACTTATAGAAAACGCGATGCCATTAAAAGTATTATTCGAAAAAAGCAGCTTCCTTATTTCCAAAGGTGTTGCCCATAAGCTGATAGCCTCAACATTTAAATTTATAGTTACCGAAAAAGGTCCAAACTTCCTCAATGAAATTTGGAAAAGTTCAGGCCTGAAATTAAGTGATTTTATGGATCCAAATGAAGTAGATAAATTTGTTGATACAAATGTAAGTTGTATACATGCATATCTAAAATATTCAATTTAATGATTTATTTTTTCTATGTCTATATAGAATTTGGGTATATTAAGCGGAAAAGATGGAACTACTTCTTCCGTTCAGAATATTTCATTTCCAGAAATAGGGAACAAACTAAGGATGTTCATCAAAGATTGCACTTCCTTAGATGACATAAAATCCTGGGTTAATGTAAGTTCTAATACGAAATATTGAAGAAAAACGTTACTAATGCTATATTATTTTTCATTGTAGGCCAATGTGGGAGAGGGAATAAAGGATAAAGAATTTATCAAAGTGCTTGTGACAGCCGTTATTGAAAATTCCGTTAATCATTTGAAATTAGACGTAGATACGCTGCGCAGGTGTTTTAATTTATTGTTATTCTATATTGATGGCAATCAAGAATATGAATTGCAATGCCTGTATGCAATTCACAGTTTAGTAAATAAGTGGGAGTATCCTCAAGGTAATATTTTATTATTAACCTGTTTGTAACAGTGTATATAACAGATTATGTATTTTAGGTTTATTACTGAAAATCTTTGGTTCATTATATGATGAATCTATTATATCCTATGAAGGTTTTATAGCATGGCGGACGAATGATGGTCCTGCAGGTCAAGACAGAAAAGGTATTTACATCAGAATTAATTGTTGATTGTTAATAATTAATTATTTTTTTTATAATTTAAGGTGTCGCCGTAAAGCAGCTGAATAGTTTCTTCACTCAACTCTGTGAAAACGACGACGAATTTACGTCCGACGAGGAACTCCAAAAGTAAAAAGGAAGTAATATATAGAAAGAAAACTATAACGAATGAGCAATGAGCATTACTATGTGAAAAGACTTCAGTGTAAAGTGACTCTTAGATAAAATTTATACAAATGTTTATATATATATATACATATAAATATTTCAAATTAAAATATATATATATATATATTTATGAATTAAGTTGTGAAAAGACGCGCAGTTTAAATAATTAAAATCAAGTGCGGCTAACTTAATAAAAAGTTCAAGTGCCCAACGTTTTCAAGGATTAAGGACCGAAAAAATTGTAATTATAAGTGATGAAGGAATATTAAATTTAATATATTATATACATATATTGAACACATAAGAGGCCTAATAATAGATGGATCAATTTTATTTCTATATTATATTATTCTTATTATTATTTGTATAACCTATATAAATATTTTATTATTATTTTTATTGTTTTAGTGACATTTTTTTTTTAATGATTCTTGTCCACTGATTTGAAAATTTCATATTGATTCATTGTTTGTTAGGCCTGTAATAGATACAACCAATATTGCTATTGTGGCCGTTCAAAAATGATGTTTGTGTTATGTATCAAACGGCGGTTAATTTTCTTTCATTAACATCGCCCTGCCCTGTGAAACCCACCAATCAAGAGAGAACGACGTCTCTGTTGCCACAAATGCCCCACCCTCCAGACCCACCCCTATTTTTGTTATTGAAAATATTGAACTTGTTATTGGATAAAACATTTTCATACTGTTAAGTTATTATTAGGTACAATCCTGTATAATAAAAAATACAGAAGCGCATTTCAGTTTTAGATTTTTTTTCTCTATTATTTTTTTTTTTGTATGCATATAAATATATATGATATTTTATTTTAATGATCATCTCTAATCTAAAACTGTTGAGCGACTGTTGCTAGTCAGAATTAGCAATTTTGGAAATTCATATGCGACATTATGAGAACAGTCGAATGTGTTGAACCAAATTTGTGGTAAGTTTCAATCGAGATAGTTTTGGTGAACGATAAAACAACGTATCGATCCTTTTTATATATATATATATTTATTTGTATTTTCTTAATTTTAAATTAGATCAATATTGTTTAATCCTAAATATATTTTATATTGTACAGAATTGCTAATTGATTTATTTATACTTGGAATGAATTGCTATATCTGAACGGAACAATTTTTACTTTCCATTTGGAATTTCCGAAATAGTTGATTATATTTCTATGAAATATTGTATATATTTTTTGTATAAAACATATACAGTATTTTAATGGTTGATAAATTTGTATATAAAACACTTCCGTTACATTTGGTTGAGCATTTTTATTCAACCCGATTATGTTAATAGTAACAAAATGATTCTACTTATTATATTATATTCTTATAAGTTTAATGAATCGTTTGGATATCATTAATGATGATGATGATGATGAATGGGGAAATAATTTATTTTTATGAGAGCCCTGTAATTGATTTTATATGTGTTGCTGCTCTGTATTTTCTTAAGTAAATTAAGTTTAGGTCTGGGATAAGAAAATCGGTTATTTTAATTATGCCTTGTTTTATTTAACTATATTAAAAAAAGAAAAGAAAACATGCATGGAGAAACAAGCAGACTATTGATTAATCAGCTCTGTCACAAAGTATGAGAAATGCTACTACGCATAAGTAAATTTATAATACCAATGGTATTCTATAAAGGCATTTAATTTTTAAAAAAATAAAAGAAAATGTAAATTTGGAATGCCCTAGTTTTATTATATATTAAATTTCATACTTGATTATATTATAAGCAACACTTATTGGCTTATTTATTAATATTATTTGTTGGATTAAATTGTATACCCCCAAATTAATGCCTCCTACTATCTTTATAAACATTTCTTTGACGTTACCTTCTTGTATATCGAAATTATTGAGTGCCATTCACAACAAAACACCTTTAGCGGTAGAAAATATTTGTTATAACAGCAAAAAAAGAAAATAATGAACTGTTGATTAATTTAGTGAATTAATGTTTTTACTGATTAATGGCGTAATTTTAATAATGTTCAAAATATACATGGACAATTAGTTTATAAAAATAATTGAAGAGGAAATCTTCTAATATTAATCATTATTAATATATCTCAACTCTTAACGAAATATTTTTATTTATATGGAAGATTATAATTCAAAACAACAATTGCAATAGAATCTTCTATTCGAAACTTCTTCTCGTCGAGTATTCGAGATCAAATAAGGATTTAGCAGTAACAATAATTGAAAACTTTCTCATTTAATATTTAATTTAATCTTGAAGGCATAAAAAATGGTCAATTAGGAAACAAAATCATGTTCTTATTCTAAATAGTGTCCGTTCCATTCAATGGGCGTGAGATTTTAGAAAATGATTAGATAGAGGTCCTTCGTCAGCGTATCCTGCAATTTCTTGCGGAATAATTGCGCTTTCCTCAACTCCTGTGCATGGTCTGCACATGCATTCCAAAGGAGCTTTTGTAGTCACCTAGAAAATAAAATAATTATTTTGTCAATGCAATTATAAGTATTTGAAAATGAAACCACATAGCGTCAGAGAGTTGAACTAAAAACAGATAATTTAACTGAAATATTGATGATTCGGAGATCTACTTTACCGACCTTCTCAAGATTGTAATGGCGTGCAGTAGTGTTGTGAATGTTAAATTTGCTTTGCAATTTATTGACTAGTTCTGAGCGGACAAATGTTATACAACTTTATCTAAACATTATTAAGGTTTGTGTTTATTATTACCCTACAATTATTTAGATAATCGTTTCAATTGTTTGAGTATTTACTTTTTCCAAATTGCAAAAAAAAAGGTATTAATTCATACAGTTAGTGCCATTTTAATGAAGTTCTTTAATGCGCTTCAACCTTTTATTACATTTTTATTCCTTTGATTATTATATATAAGCATATCAGTTTTTTTTTGTAATGTAATTATACTTGTCAAAAATGTAACTGACCTTTCTAAATTTCTTTTCTCCAGGTTTGGCTTTTGGACAGAACAAGGAAACGGAGGCTTCCCTCTCACCAGACTCTTGACAGCACATACAGGATCTCTCCATTTGCCAAATTTTACTGCCTGACACCTTAAATACATAATAAATGGTATGTGATGATGCTCATTATATTTAAATTTTGTATTACCTGTAAATATGATGCACATCGTCCTATGCATGCAAAGCTGGGTATTGGTTTTGGTACACATCCAGGGTATTGCAACACATGAATGACAGGAGTCACCTGGCATTCATCGGCTGCATTAGCAGCTTGAACTAGAGTTTTCCCTTGGAAATGAGGATCCATGCACATATTCCCAATAATAATTAACACTATTAATGACTTTTCCATGAAAGATTTAACTGGAAAAAACAGATTATTGAAGAAATTGAATGATACAACAAACAGAAGTTTTACCTTTAAACAATATATTTCCATACATGTTGCTTGTTTCAATATTGTGAACTGAACTGAATCATTCTATTTTTTTGTGGCTTTATATACATATATTGCTAGTTGGAAAAAAAATTGATATTATGTTAGAAAAATCTATTGTTTCCTCCAATTTGAGTCTTATAGCATAATATGATAAAGTTCACATTTCATTGGCTTTGTGTTAGGGGTTGGTGGTGGGGAATTTTTAGAAAAATATTCTTACCACTTAGTGTGGCGCAATGTCCACTCACCATGAGGTACATGTATTTAAATGGATTTAGTATTTTGCACTGTTTCTTTCAAGGCTCCTACTATACATTTATCCTGATATATTATAAAATGAAATTCATGTTATACTTGTTTACAAAAACACTAAACTGAATGTCCTCTGCAATATACATATTTTTAATAGCCTAATTTCAGATTAATTGATGGAATCAAATCAGTCGAAAAGAGCTAGAACTTCACCAACATTTGGTACACCTGAAAGGAATCTGGGATTCGAATCTTTCAGCGAAGCAGAATTACTAGAAAAACGGGAAAAACTTAATAAAAGAAAGGTAGATTTAGATCGAAAAATCGATGCGCTAAGAGCCGGGAGATTCGATGAAAATTTGAAACAAAAAATGCAGGCATTGCATACATATAATGATGTCAAAGATTTAACTCAGTCTGTTATTGGATTTTTGGCTGAAATTGAACAAACCACTGTTACTCAAATACATAAGGAATTGGAACTACCTTTAAATTCATAAATTGTTATGGTGAGTAATTTCTATTTATTATCAAATGTTTTGGCTGTAAACAATATAATATAATTCAGTTTTTAAGTAATATCATTCATAAAGCCATTAATAATATTCTGTTTCATAACATTCGTACAAATAAAATTTGTAGAATATACACATTATATTCACAATAAAGATAAAAATCAAACAAATTATTTAGAATATAGGCATTTTATTTTTCATAATATAAAATTACATATTTTTAAATATTTTTATTATTAAATATATAATTGTTGACAAAGTGCAATTACATTAAGCTGCGTAATATTTAGAAGTGAGATATTATATATAATAACATAAAAGTCTTCCTATTATAAAATTGAATTCAAAAACATTAGCAATCTGAATATACCAGTTCATAGGTACTAAAATCAGGTAATATATTATTATAAATAATTATATTTATTTTGTTATATATTATAGTTTGTATCTGAATTGAAAAATTGTTGGGTAGCTTATAATAATGAGATGTACAATATATTATTGAATTTTTATTATTTTATAATATTTCACTATACTAAGGTGTGCATAATTGAAATTTATTAATGGCTTATGCTATGTCAAATTACCTTCATATATTAAATAATTGTTTTTTTCTCTCTAAATAATACAAAGTAGTACAGTTTTTGACATTTATTATAAAAAAGCGAAAATTTAAGCAGAAAACAGATTTCAATGAATAATGGGCGTAGAATATGGTTAGCGACTGAAATCTCCACATTTGTAACATTTACATTCGGCTGGTTCTTTCAACTTTATATCCATCGTTTGTTTTCCTTCCCCAATGAGCCTAATTCCATCAGGATCGTAACAGTGAGTCAATGTTATTATGCGTTCTCGTAAATAACTTTCCCTGCAGCAGTAACATTCCTATAACAAATATGAATTAATATATAGAACATTATTGCGATAAGAATTTACCTTTAAAAATCCAGTTGGTGTAATTACAGATGGTTGAACTTGACTGTTACATGTTCCTTCACATTTGTTGACTGCAACCTCGCCATTGCAGGTTCTCTGTAGTCGACCAAGTTCATCATATTCCTCTGCAAATTCAAATTAGAAGTTAGAAATTATGCTCTTAACAATAATATATAATAAATAACCTTTTATTAAATGGATGTCGGATGGTAAAGTTTCGCAATTTTCCTCTCCGGGAATTTCGTTTAAACTGTTTACGGTGTAGATGTAAAGGTTGAGGATGAAGCAACAGAAAAACAACCTTGCGATACCCATGATGAAAGAGCGACTATACTTCCAGGACGTTCCTCCGTCCTATTTATATGTTCCAAAACAGGGAATACAGTTTTGATAATGATCCGTTGTCGCCCTCGTCCTAGCGTACTTTTAACAAATAATCTTTTGAGATCAATATTTTTTGCAAATATCTTTCAAATACTAATTAGTAAAGTATATTGAGAATATTCTATAATCAATTAATTATAATTACAATTACTAATACTTTATGATTGCGTTTGGTAAAAGTAATGAAAATGCAAGAAGAATAAAAAATTACAAATTAATGATTAGGGTATTAAATAATAATTAAATATACTTTTGCTCTAAATAATCGCTTTTAATTATGATAATGTTACTTTATTATATCGCCCCTTCCACTTTATTATGCATTATTCGCACATGTAGTGAGGTTTGTTGAACTCTGGTGTAGTTCATATAATGCATGGGGTGCGACAAGGTTATTGTTTTATGCTAAAACTTTCCATACATGCTGATGTACTTAAATGCACATGAATTTTTTTTTGTTTGTATTAGGGTAGCGGTGCTCTTTAAGTTTTTAATAAAGCAATGTCTGATACGTCTGAGGATTCAAAGGATAGCAGAGTTGGAGATATAAATCAGGACAATATCTGCAGAGATTTTATCAGAGGCATGTGTGAGAGGAAGTTTTGTAAATTTAAACATGATCAAGAACCAAGGATTTTGAATTTTTGTCACGATTATCAAAACACGGCATGTCCAAGACCGGCCTGCAAGTAAGAATATTATATGGAAGCAATTGTAAAAGAAAAAACTGCAATTTATTGTTGTTTAGGTTTATACATTGCACAATTAAGGAGGTCGAGGAATACAAGAGAAGCGGTGAAATGTCCAATCAAATATTAGCCGAGGCGACAAGAAAAAATCAACTTCCAGGTATAAATCCGATCTGCAACTCATTTCGAAAAGGGACGTGTCGGAGGACTTACTGCAAATATCGACACATATCAAAAGAGGAAGAGGACTCTGAAATCATGGAGTTAATTAAAAACAATTCAACTTTGAAAAGTAGATCACAAAGTAATATTGTTCTTATTAATGAACCTACAAATAGGATATACGATGGCAGTGCGTTTGAAAATGGTTTTAATCATTTGATAAATATTATAATAACATAATTGTAGCAATCAATAATAGAAGAGTATATCATTTCGAAGAAGTGGATGATTTAAGCCCATCCTTGCCTAAGCGTAGGCTAATTTCTAGTGGTTTAGATTGTCAGGAAACAATTCAACATGAAATCGCAAGAAGACAATTCAGTGGTTACTTTGCTGGTAGTCCTCCCTCTCTATTAAGCAGATTAGACGCTCGGTAATATTTTACATTAATTTATATGAAATATTTTTTTAATAATTGTGTTTTTCTTTTTTATATGTTTAGAAGTATCATCATATTAGAAGAAGAAAATAATTTGTTGCAAAAGGAAGTAGCTCAACTGAAGAAACAGGTTAAATTTTCACTTATATTTTGTTACATTTTTTATTATCAATGAGATTTCTAGGTTTCTGATTTAACAGCTACTAATGAATTTTTGTTGGATCAGAATGCAACTTTAAGAGTATCTAGTAAGAGACACAGCGCCACAGTTACAGTTCCGGCTGTGACTATAACAAATACATTACCTCAAAATAATGGACAGGTGAGTGAGATTGAAATTTCGAATTACAGATTTATAGACAACGTTTTGCTATTTTAAGTACGTATAGTTGACTCGTGTAACTTTCTTTAATTTTTATATATTTTAGGTAATAAGAACTGTAGCTGCAAGTGTTGCAACGGTTCCAGTTTCTCTGGCAACTGTTACTACTTGTAATCCGGTATCAGGTAATCCAGTGTCTATTGCTGGATGTCCTGCCGTTAGTATAGCGCCTGCAGCGCAGATCCTCGCTCCTAGTCAACAGATTTTAGGTGATCCTTACGAATATAAGATTAGAATGGGTTTTTGTACTGATGTATGTGATTTATTTCAGTAACAACAAATCAATCCACCCAGTTAGCATTAGCCAACAGTTCTCAAGCGCAGTTAGCTATAGCTCAACAGAATTTGGCAAATAACCTTGCTCAACAGGCTCAACCCCAATTGACGTCGCAAGCTCAGCAATTGGCGCTGGCTACGACAACCCAACAGCTGACCTCCCAAGCCCAGCACATGGCGAACCAACAGATGGCCCTTGCCACAGCTCCACAGCAAATGAACTCGCAAACCCAGCAAATGGCAATCAATAACAATCAACAAATAACATTGGCAAGTAATCCCCAATCTCATCTAACCAATCAGCAATTGTCATCTCAAGCTCAACAGCTAAATCAACAATTGACCTCGCAAGCCCAGCAATTAGCCCTCGCCAATACGACCCAACAATTGACATCACAGGCTCAGCAGTTAGCATTGGCGAATTCTACCCAGCAGTTGACAAGTCAAGCACAGCAGATGGCTCTTGCCAATTCCCCTCAGCAGTTAGCGGTCGCAAACGTCAATCAACGGCTGGCTCTGGCCAGCACTAGTCAGCAGTTACTAGCACAGCAAAATCTAGCTAACAATCAACAGATCGAGTTGCATCGCAACTCACAGTTAAACGGTATCAATACGTCACAAACCATGGCGATGTCCAACGCGACTCCGCCCATGGTTTCTTATCCAATAATGACGCACGCTTTACCCCATTAATGAACAAATATCTATATACCAATCTAGTTTTAGTTCTGTTACACAATTGATGAAAGGTGTTTAGATATATTCAGGGTATTCACATTACTGTTTCTTTTAAATTAATTTAACAAACAATCAATCATGTATATAAGTTTTAGTTGTATGCGAAAAATGGCGGATTATTGAAGTGCTTCATAGATTGCGTAAGTTGTTTATAATTTAATAGACATTCCACTCTCTAATTGCACATTCATATTTTAGCAAATAATTAATCAGAATCAGGTAACAATCTAAAGAATCCTTCAAAAAAAATATTTTTGTAAAACACAAATATAAAGAGAAGAATCATTTTGATTTATGCATTGTGTTTATATACTTCGGACGCTGTGCTTAGCAACTATAGATTTGCTATTTTTCGAATTATTATCCTTACAGAGTATTTATTGGAATTGTTTTAAATACTTAAATCAAATTGTGATATATTAATTTAAAATATAAATACATAAAAAAGAAAGAAAAATAAACGTTATTTTCGTTAGTACGATATGGAAATTATTTGTGATTAGTTAAGTTAAGTGAAGATAATTAAGTTCTGGCATTATATTGCGAAAATATTTTTGATATAAACACATGTCAAAATTACATTTAATTTTAATTAAAACATGTTAATCGGTTAGAATTACTGTTTTTAAAGAAAATCTAATTATGTTTTCTTTAAGTGTGGATGATTATTTCTTTGCAACTATCTACTGTATATATTGAATATTATTGAACAAAAGTACAATTAAATTATTTATGCCCATTTCATTTTTCTTTTTTTTTATAAAACCTTAATACTTATTTCCATTAACGTTTAAGACATTTAATAACATTTATCACAAATATATAAATATTATAAAAAAATCTCGTAATAAAATAAGGACTTTGTAAACCAATTCCAATAAGTTCTCAACTATCTGCAACATGTTCTTTGAGAATAAATATGATTGTATCAGGTTTGATGATAAAATTCAGGATCAAAAAATATAGAAATAAATTAATAAAATGTTATTAAATTGATATGTAAATTTAAAATTGAATAAATAGATTTATTTTTAAATTAACACAATTAAACTAATCAACAACATTTATAATACTATTCCGATATATCATCAGAATTCTGCCTCCGCAATACATTATCCACGGATCTTGAACGTCTTATTTGTTTCCTACTACTTCCTTTAAGTGTGAACATTTTGTTAGTAGATTCTGTAAATAATGATTCGAATTTTTGTTTAGCACGTATCACGCTGATATCACTGTTAGCCAACATTTCTCTGACCCTTTTGACTTTCTCGTCGGTATTCGCAAGTTCGGTATTTTCTCTGTGCTTACGCATTTTTTTGTTATACTCGAAATTGGCATTATCCTGTTTAACAGTTGATATTTTTTGACGTTGACTATCTAATGTTCTCTTATTGTAATGCGTTTCTTTTCGCTGCGAAGGTGGAGTTGTAAATGTATCTGTATGTGATTCTTTCTTACATTGCACCATTTCATTGAGCATTTGCAATTCCTGCGCCTTCGTTTCCAGCCGATGGCATTTTCTTTTCATTTTATTAAATTGCTGCTGAACATTTTTCATTTCGATCAAATTCGCGTTGTGTTCTTGATTTATGGAACATATTTTCTCTCTCAACTGCTTCTCTTTCATATTTAACTCTCGATTGTGTACTACACTGTTTCTCTTTCTGCTCAGCAATATTTTTGTTAAATTATGTATCGAAGCTATGGAATCGTCTATATTTTCCGGATCCAATTTAATATACGGTATTTTTGTACCATGAGACAAAGTCTTCACTTTATTTACCGGTGTATCATTTGCTTCCTTTGCTTTGCAGATTTTTCTGTAAGGAGTGTATCTTGATTCCGGTTTAATTACTTTAACGTCTTGAGTGATTTCTGCGAATTTCATCACGTGCATATTCTCTTCGAAATCGTTTGCAGTTGGATTTGCGCAAACGATCATTTCAACTTTACCGCCGCCCTCAAAATAGTTTTTGAAGATGTGCGTTAATCGACTTTCCCTGTAAGGAATCAGTCTGTTCGAATTATTCACTTGATTCTCTCTTAAAATCTCGAGGCAGTTTCTTAATGACATCAAGGAGTTATTGATGGAACTCGCTTCTTTCAATCGCATCCCCGTTGTTTGTGTGCGATTGCATCTTTCGGATCCAGCTAAATCGACAAAACTCAATTGACCAATTTTCAGAAAGTTTTCATCTGTCAGGAGAACATTACTATTGTTGACGTTTCCCAATTGGACAAGTCTAATATTGAAAATGGAATGACTTCTACTGGATTCCGCGTTTAATAAGGTGTTACCCATTCGTTTTCTTTTATGACCTGCATTGAATAATTCGTATGCTTCGCCAGCACTTTTGACTTCAACTTCAACAACTCCATTTACGTACATGTTCTTCTGAGAGTCTTCTCTCAAAATTTTACTTTGTAAAACTTTTGTACCGGACTCATCCAATAGATCGTACACAGTATTGTTATATATCTCTATATAAGTGACAAAAACTGTGTACATACTTGTTGCATTGATTTCTACAATTGCTGTACCATCATAAGTATAGGGCAATTTTTCTCCTTTCTTTTTATTCTTTTTGCTAAATTTATTTTCCAATAATGATTCTGCTTTTGCGTCATTTGCATTTTGGACATCAAACCCATTCATTCTATCTGATTTGACCATAAATTTGGGCAGTTGATTGGATTTTATCGAGTTAAAAATAGTATCTATACATCTAGGCATGATGCCTGGATTATAATGTTCTCCTGTTAAAGTATATGTTTTTCCAGAACCGGTGACACCATAAGTGAATAACAGTCCATTTTTTCCGTTAAATAAATTTTCCAATAATGGATAAGCCACTCGATCAAAAACTTCCTGTTGTGATGAGTAAGATGTAAAAATATGTTTGAACGTGTAATGAGCATCTTTACGAACAACTTTAGATTCGTTTGGACACGTTAAAGATATCACTGTTGGTGATATCAATTTTATACAAGACAATTCAGTATCATCCTTCAAAGGTTTTAGTCTACAAAATACACTCACTGTATCCAACTCTACTTTCGATTTTTCTTTACTAACTTTTTTGGCCATAATTATTATTATATATTTTTACAAATATAATTGTTAAAATGCAGCTGTTTTACTCCAAGAAACCTCAGAGAATACTTATACTGCAATTTAAATATGTATTTATAAAAAAACATGTACTGATAAGAATTCTAGAAGGTTTTATTTCATACATCAATTTCAATGTGATTAAAGAAAGTTCATGAATTTATTGAGCAGAAAGACGGGTTTAGTTTAATACGATATAAATGAAATACTTATGTATAAAATTTTAATCTATTTAATTATCCATTGCTTTCCATTTTTTCATCATTTTCATCATAAATGTGCAATTGTATTAAAATTTCCTTTGGTAAATCTCCATTCCATTCATAGAATTCAGGAGACTTGATGTCTAAAATTTCTGAATTAAGTGCCCAAAACTTATTACCTATTAAATCTTCATGCAATGGTAATATAACTTGTCTTTTTTTCCCAGATCTAGGATGCGTAATCCGTTTTTTTAATAAAATCGTTCCTTTCTTATAAATTTCATCCTCATTGTTATAGTTTATACCAAAGTCAGTGAATAAAATCTCATTTTTATCACTTGAAAATGTTCCACATAGACGTTGTTCAGCCTAAAAATGTAAATGATTATTATTCAATATTCAAAATATTTCATTATAATAATAATACCTCCACATTGGTCAATCCACCCTTCTGTATTAAAGTCCAAAATGTAGTATTGTATAAATTGTTAATATGGCAATCTGCTTGTCTCCAGCTCAAGTAATCTCTGATGTTTTCATCAGTTGGATACAAAACAATGCGAGAATCAAATGATGGGGGATACAACAGCTTCTTGTCCTCAAAATATTCCTTCCAATAATATACATAGCTAGATGTAAATAAGCTATTGATGTAAGTCATTATTTTTGAACCTCTTCTATTGTACAATTGAGTATCCTTTCGTAGCACAAATGAATACTCATCACTTTGTCCATATGAAATTGAGATGTCCTTAAATTCACTCATTACCCTAATTGCAGCTTTATTCATTAACTTTAAGGCTCTTATATCATTGGGTTTTTCAAACTTATGTTTGTCTGAAAACTTGTGAAAATGCTGGCCATCAATCCGAACAACTATCCAACAATTGGGTAACACTTTATCTTCAATTTCAAAAGATTTTACATATTCGAATTTACTTTTCGCCATTATAGATGTGTATAATGGTCTTTCGATATGCGTTAATAATGTGGAGAAAACTTTCAACATTTAAGCTCTGAATTTAGAGGTTATATCACCGTTATTCAAAAGAATTAAAATATAATACTATTAGAAACGTGAATTTATATGAATTTACAGTATCATTTAAGATTGTTGCAATTATTTTTACTTAAATTTTTTTTAAATAATTCAATTTTGAAATTATAACATAAACTATACTTGTTCACTTAAAGTAAATATTAATAATTGAGTTTGAATTCATACTAATTATAAGGGCGACTCAGCGTAATGAAATGTTATTGGAGAAATCATTTATTTATAACATTTATTAAATTTATATTATGAAGATGTATTTTACAATTAAAAGTTGTTATTGTGTTGTAAACATGATAAAAAAAAGTATTTATATGATGGATAGATAGGATGTGTTGAAATAATTCAAATGAAATATAAAAACCATATTTTTATTGCTTATTTAGAAAAAAATATAGAAATAATTAGTATCTGTAATGATCAGGCTTGAATGGGCCAGCAACAGGAACACCCAAGTATTTAGATTGTTCTGGTGTCAAAGTGGTGAGCTTAACTCCCAAATGGTTCAAGTGAAGTCTGGCAACTTCCTCGTCCAACGTCTTAGGCAGCATGTGCACGCCAATTTTGTATTGATCGGGGTTGGTCCACAGTTCGATTTGAGCAAGAACTTGGTTGGTGAAAGAGTTTGACATAACGAAAGAAGGATGTCCCATGGCGCATCCCAGATTGACCAAACGTCCTTCAGCCAAAACGATGACGTTGTTTCCGTTGCTCAGCAAGTACCTATCGACCTGCGGTTTGATGTTAGTTTTGCTCTTGGCATTTTTGTCCAACCAAGCAACATCGATTTCACAATCGAAATGACCAATATTGCAAACGATACTGTCATTACGCATGTTCATGAAGTGTTCACCAAGGATGATGTCTTTGCAGCCTGTTGTTGTGACAAAAATTTGTCCTTCCTTGCTGGCAATGTCCATGGTGGTTACTTCGTAACCTTCCATAGCTGCTTGAAGAGAGTTGATGGGATCAATTTCGGTGATGATGACCCTTCCGCCGAAAGCGCGGAGAGATTGGGCGCAACCTTTTCCAACATCGCCGTATCCAGCGACTACGCAAACTTTTCCAGCTAACATAACATCTGTTGCTCTCTTAATTCCATCAATGAGAGATTCCCTGCATCCATACAAGTTATCGAATTTGCTCTGCAATTGAAACGAAACCATTAATAAATGAATGACTGCAAGCAATGATAATAAAGTACCTTGGTTACAGAATCGTTTACATTGATAGCAGGAACTTTAAGTTTACCATCCTTGAACATTTTGTACAAGTTGTGTACACCAGTTGTGGTTTCCTCGCTGATACCTTTGCAGTCGGTGAGGTATTCCGGGTATTTTTCATGAACCAAGTTAGTTAAATCACCTCCATCGTCGAGGATCAAGTTCAATGGTTTACCATCCTTGAAGACCAGTGTTTGTTCAATGCACCAAATGTATTCTTCATCAGTCTCTCCTTTCCATGCGTATACTGGTACTCCGCTCTTTGCTATGGCCGCAGCAGCGTGATCTTGTGTCGAGAAAATGTTGCAACTCGACCATTGCACCTAGAAAATAATTAAATTCATTTTATAACATTTATTTTTCCGAATCATTAAAAATAATTGTATAATAAATCGATTGCGTACGTAAGAACTTGCATAATTTCAAGTTATGTTAGTATAGTAATTCGATTCTGATAAAAAGGTCATCTCGCAAATTTTATAAAATAGTTATCAAATGCAAAACAATCTTCACGTTACACGAACATTGAAAACAACTAAGTTGTTATCAGTGACGAATTGCATCTATCACATGATAATATCAGCTTATTAAAAAGGAACTTTAATTTAAGTGGTACGATATAGCGAGGTCAAGATGTTTTCAAAACTAAATATGAATAAAAAAAACAATATAATTTACATTATCTTTTGAATTGAAAAACAACACAAAATAAGCATTAGATTTACACAATTTTGATGATATTTTACTTAACTCAAATTTACTAAGCTAAGTGTATTATTACACATTTTGACTAATCTACACAGATATCATTTTAAATACATCCTGGAGTATTTTAAGTCAGATTTTACTGTATATTTATGTTGATGATAGACTTGTTGATTCTGATATGTATGTAATTTAACAGATTGCAGATATCAGTATAAAAATATATAAAAAAAAGAGAAAATTATTGTTGCAATCCAATCTTATACTGGTTTCGCAAAAGTAGAAAAATATAATGTGAAGTTTGTTAAATTAAAACGTAAAAAGTACAAAAATATTTCAATTACTTTGAAACTTATATCAAGACATACATTTTAATAAACATCAAATTTTTAATTAATGAAATGTTTTACATTTATTTAGGATATTTTTCAAATTGTCAACAATAAGAATTCATATTAATAATTATTTAAAAAATTCTTAATTGAAGAAACCTTTCTTAAAAGTGATCTATACAAAATAGATTTTAAATACAATTTTTGTACGATAATGACTTGTGTTTAAAACTTTTAAATATAAATTGTAGAAAAATAATAATTTATAAAATTCTTACCTCAGCACCCAAATCAGTTAAAGTTTCAATAAGTACAGCAGTTTGTACAGTCATATGAAGGCAGCCAGCAATGCGGGCACCCTTCAAAGGCTTTGTTGTTCCATATTTGGTGCGAAGACTCATAAGTCCAGGCATCTCATTTTCAGCAAGGGTGATTTCCTTCCTGCCCCAATCAGCCAATTTAAGATCGGCTGTAAACACATGAGAAATTTTAATATAAATATCCTATAAGAATTAACCTCAAAACACGTGTAAAACCGATATAAATACATAGCAAATATTACTTACCGACTTTGAATTGTGGTTTCGGCATCTTATTTTTTATAATTTAAGTTCTTACAGTCTTTAGAAATGATGCAAAGCAAGACCACGTTGTACCGGCCAGCAAACTAAATTGGTTAAACTAAAATAGCGGCAAATATATATGTTTAGAGAAAAGTTTTGCAATAACTACGCAAGCGCTTTAAAGAATATTTCTAGTTTAAAATAAAACATGCATTGTTGTCGTATCTTTCTCCGATCTTGTATATTTATGTGAGATTCTAACAAAGAGAAATGTTCTATTATTATACTAATCTGGTCATGTATCTATTTTAGTTACTTCTTAGAATATTATTGTTTAATTATTGTAAGCCTAGAAAAATATTATTGAAAATATCCAAAATATCAAATGAAATACATTATCAATTGATAAAACTATATTTTATAATAATTATGTAATTAGATTTTAAGAAATTGTTGATTGAATATGCTATAATTTATATATTACTTTTTGTTTTAGAATTTAGTAATCAAGAAAATATTGTAGCTATGACAACAGTGGTTATATTAATTCTGTCGTGAAATATTGGTCATGCGCTCATTCAGTAGATTATACCTTCTGTCAATGCCACAGTCATATGACAAGTGGGTGAGGTGAAAACAGTAAAGTTTCCAACAAGAAATTATCAAAATGAAGGGCTGTCTGTTCAATATCGATGGTGGTTATTTGGAGGGTCTCTGCAGGGGTTTCAAATGCGGCATTTTGAAACAAGCAGACTACTTGAACTTGGTCCAATGTGAAACTTTAGAAGGTAAATTATATGTTCCCAGATCAAAGGGCCATCCATCCCTTATAAATGCTCACACACCTTTTATTTAATAACATATTAATTACCCATATAAGCCTGTTGTAATTTGCTTTAATTTAGTAACAGAATATAGCAAGGTTACTCTGTTTCAATATTACAATGTGATCTGTTAATTGGGTGTCCTCCAAAGTCATATGATTCTGACACACTTATGTTTTACAGATCTTAAGTTGCATTTGCAAGGCACTGATTATGGTGCATTCTTAGCAAATGAACCATCACCACTTGCTGTATCAACTATTGATGATAAGCTTCGTGAGAAGCTTGTCATTGAGTTCCAGCATCTCAGGAACCATGCAGTTGAGCCACTCTCAACATTCTTGGACTTCATTACGTACAGTTACATGATTGATAACATCATTTTATTGATCACTGGCACATTGCACCAGAGGCCAATTTCTGAGCTGATCCCAAAGTGTCATCCACTTGGAAGTTTTGAGCAAATGGAAGCTATCCATGTTGCTGCTACACCAGCTGAGCTGTACAATGCTGTACTTGTGGACACACCATTGGCTCCATTCTTTGTTGATTGCATCAGCGAACAGGATTTGGATGAGATGAATATTGAAATTATTCGTAATACTCTTTACAAGGCATATTTGGAGGCTTTCTTTTCTTTCTGCAAAGATATTGGAGGCACAACAGCTGATTGCATGTGCGAAATTTTAGCTGTAAGTAAATTCAAGTATTTCTATTGTTATCTCGTAATATATATATATTTTTTTAAATTTTTGCGATTAGTTCGAAGCTGATCGTCGTGCTATTATCATCACTATCAACTCATTCGGCACAGAATTGAGCAAGGATGATCGTGCCAAGTTGTATCCAAGATGCGGTAAATTGAACCCCGATGGATTGGCTGCTTTGGCGAGGGCTGAGGACTACGATCAAGTCAAAGCTGTTGCAGAATATTACGCAGAGTATTCTAAACTTTTCGAAGGCGCTGGTAACAATCCCGGGGATAAAACTCTCGAGGACAAGTTCTTCGAACACGAGGTACATCATTCTCCAGTTATTATATTATTATACTAAACCGTTTTTTTCTTTAATTTTTTCTAGGTTCGCTTGAATGTTAATGCATTCCTTCAACAATTCCACTTTGGAGTATTCTACTCCTATTTGAAGCTTAAGGAACAAGAATGTCGTAACATCGTCTGGATTTCTGAGTGTGTCGCTCAGAAACACAGGACCAAGATTGATAACTACATTCCTATATTTTAAATGGCATTTTTAAATTCATAATATATTTAGTATTGACCGTCTTTCTTTTGTCGAAGTATCATCGTTAAATAAGGTGATACTTTTAACTCTTAAATGATAAAGGCATCAAACACTCACCGATTATACGAAATAGGTAATAAATATCTGTTATATTCATTCAGAATCAGTTTATAACAAATTTGTGTGGCTTGTATATTCCATAATGTATTAAGTTGTAAATTGTTATTATTCAATGTATTTAGTTTATAGCGACTGTTGTAAAAAAATATGAATTTTATTTGTATATTAGTTAAAATGAAATGAACCATTAAGTATGCAATGTGGTATATATATGTAATAAAGATTTAGTGTGTTAGATGTTGACTGTTAATAGTCCCATAGTGTATTCGAGCGTCTGTGATGAGATGTTGGTCGCTACATCACTCGATGCGAGTACCAGGATATTCAATGAAAGACGTGTTATGTGTGTTGGTGTCATGTCATTCATCACCACTAGTTCATATTGATCAATAACCAAAGCCAACTCTTGCCCATTAGGATTGGAGCTAGTTCGAGGTATTCTAGAAGTCGCGTCCAACTATGGAATGTATAAGCGCTCGGGGGATGCAAGAAAGATGGAATTTTGCATCTGGCCTTGATGTTCTTCTTGACCAACATCGAAACATTGCCGTTTGTTGTGAAACCCATTATATCTTGGAGTGGAAATAGTTGAGCTAGGATGAATCTCAAATTGCTATGATGTCCACTTCTCGAGCTCTAGATTCTATTAACAGATCATGGCGGTTGGTGTTGAGGGATCTAGCATTCCAGCTAAGAAGCGTCACTCTCCCGTTCTGTGCAATCATTGTTATAAATTTGCTGTCTTTTGTGATTGCTGCGAATTGTTTTGTCGCTTCCCAAAGGCGCGAGTTTTCTTTAATTCCCTTGTTTTTGATTGCTGCTACCAGCATCAGGATGAGAGACGAGGTCTTCCTCTTCTCGCTCTTCCACCGATATTGTTTGCTTGCATGCCACAACTTTAAGTTTCTGTAGGTCTTCTGTTTCGTTATCTGTATTTTGGCTTATTCGTGAATGTAATTTCTCTCTTCCTTTTCGGGGCCGCGGATTCACTGAGGATGTTGAAGGAGTCGTTGATCGATTCCGGGCAAAAGTTTGTTTGTCTAAGGTCTGTACTTTTCGATCTCGTTTGTTTTTCTTGGGTAACAGTAGAAAAAGGAAGATGGAAATTGTAACAGATGACAAATAAATAATTAGAAAAAAACGGTTATTTGACAAAATATTTTAATTTTTACATATTACATTAAAGATTTCTTTTGTTGCGTGTCGTGCATACATATTCTTCATTTGTATACATATATATACTTTATTGTTTTTCGAATTTCAATTCCGGCTGAGATTTTTCCGCTTTTTTATTTTTCCATTTCCGCAACAAAAAAGTTAGAGATTTACTTACGTTCATCTTCATTTATTATCACAACAGAGACAAAAATGATTATAACATATGTAAAAGAAGAACAAATTTACATTTAATAACAATTAAAACCAATTCAAGAAGAATTGCAAATTTTCACTCTCTTTTAGCTATATTTTACTGCTTATGGAAAAGAACTGCAAACAGAAAACTTGTACTTTTTATTACCATAACAAAACAGTTTATTTACTCGATCTTCTACATTTATTTTCTCATGAATTTTATTCTTTCTTTCTAATGTTTCATGTGCAATTAGGGTTTAGTTATTAAGTAGGATTCACGTGTCTCTTTCTATCTCTGAGCCCTGATTGTGGCGTAATTTTTAATTCATATAATAATTTTGAAAACAAATTGTAGATTTGCGCACCAACAGACCAAGTCAAAATTGATTTAGTGAGGTTAGGATTGGTTACTGTTGGTTACTTTCTTCAGATAAACTTAATAGCGTTTTATTTGTATTCATTGTAAATTGTGTGAAAGATACAATATATGAATAGAATTTAATAAGAAATGTAGTTATTCCTGCTTGATAGAATTCTGTTTAATTAGTAGTGTTTACCATTATATTGAATAATAACATATCTGAGTGTTGAAATTCAACATGAGCAAATCAAGAGACAAGAAGAAAAGATATGAGGACAGCTCAGATTCTGATAGTGCTGAGGAGGCAAGGAAAAAAGATTTAAAGGAGAGAGATGAGTTTGCCAATAGATTAAAGCAAAAGGATGCAAACCGTACAAGGAATATTGTTGCTGCTTCTGAAAAGAAAGCTTATGAAGAAGCAGCAAAACGTCTCAAAATTGAAGCAGAGGATAGAGATAAAATGGTACCCATGCTTAGGATCCATTCTCGTAGGAAATACTTGGAGAAACGTAAAGATGATAAATTGCAAGAACTCGAAGCTGACATTCAAGATGATGAATTCCTATTTGAAAATGACATGTAATTATATTGTTTATTTTCATTAGTATATACCAATAATTTGGTTGTTCAATATTTTAGTTTGACAGAGAGAGAACGTAAAGAGAGACAACACAAAAAGGAATTATTAAAGCTAGCTCAGGAACATGAGAAAGCTAGAGAGTTGGAAAGAGTTCAAAGGTACCATATGCCCAGTGATGCTGGTAAAAGCAGTGAATATGTTGAAGTTGATGAATTGGAAAATATGCCTCAGTCTGAGCAAAAGAAATGGGAAAAAGAACAAATGGCTTCAGCTGTATATTCATTTGGGGCAAAGGAAAAGGCTAAACGAGATGAATATGAATTGCTATTAGCCAATCAGATTGACTTTATTCAAGCTCTCAAACTACCAGGTACTAAGAAAATATTTATCACTTGATGTATATAATCAAACTGTTGTTTTCTAGGATCAAAAGATAAAGAGGATAAGAAACCTGAATTAACTGAAAGTGAAAGAAAAAAATTGGATATTCAAGAAACTAAGAAGAGTTTGCCTGTGTTTCCTTTTAGAGATGATTTAATACAAGCTGTGAGAGATCACCAAGTGTTGATTATTGAAGGCGAAACAGGTTCAGGGAAAACCACGCAGATTCCGCAGTATTTACATGAAGCTGGATTTACAGATGATAGTAAAGTTTTGAATTCTAATAGGAATGTTGGGAATATATTTAATTTAATATAATTTTAGATAAGAAGATTGGGTGCACGCAACCGCGACGTGTAGCCGCAATGTCTGTGGCAGCAAGAGTTGCACAAGAAATGAACGTCAAGTTGGGAAATGAGGTGGGATACGCTATACGTTTCGAAGATTGTACATCGGAGAGAACCATCATCAAATATATGACTGATGGTACGTTACATCGAGAATTTTTATCAGAACCAGATTTACAATCGTACAGTGTAATGATAATTGATGAAGCCCACGAGAGAACATTGCACACCGATATTTTGTTCGGGCTTGTTAAAGATATCGCACGTTTCAGACCAAATTTGAAATTGCTTATATCTAGCGCTACTTTGGATGCGCAAAAGTTTTCCGAATTTTTCGATGACGCTCCAATATTTAGAATTCCGGGTAGAAGATTTCCTGTAGATATATATTATACCAAGGCCCCTGAAGCGAACTACGTTGATGCTTGCGTAGTTTCGGTGTTGCAGATTCATGCAACACAACCGTTGGGTGATATATTGGTATTCTTAACGGGTCAAGAAGAAATTGAAACGTGCCAGGAATTGCTGCAGGACAGAGTACGGAGATTAGGATCGAAATTGAAGGAGTTAATAATATTGCCCGTGTACGCTAATTTACCTAGCGACATGCAAGCAAAAATATTTGATCCCACACCACCAGGCGCAAGGAAAGTGGTATTGGCCACTAACATAGCCGAAACATCTTTGACGATCGATAATATCATTTACGTTATTGATCCTGGCTTTGCCAAGCAGAATCACTTTAATTCTCGAACCGGTATGGAGAGCTTGATTGTTGTACCCGTATCGAAAGCGTCTGCAAATCAGAGAGCTGGACGAGCTGGCAGAGTCGCTCCCGGAAAGTGTTTCAGGTTGTACACTCTTTGGTCATACAAACACGAACTAGAGGACAATACGGTGCCCGAAATACAAAGAATTAATTTGGGCAATGCCGTGCTGATGTTGAAAGCTTTGGGTATAAATAATTTAATGAAATTCGATTTCTTGGATCCACCGCCAAGAGAAACTATGGTCTTGGCATTGGAACAACTGTACGCATTAGGGGCATTCAATCATCGTGGAGAATTAACAGCTTTAGGAAGAAGAATGGCTGAATTTCCAGTGGATCCTATGATGGCTAAAATGTTGTTGGCTTCAGACAAGTACGTTGGCAAGAAGCAATTAGTTAACGTTTAATGTCAATTTATTCTGACTTGTAGGTATAAATGTTCCGAAGAGGCTGTTTCTATAGCTGCAATGTTATCTGTAAATGGAGCCATTTTCTATAGACCCAAGGATAAAATTATCCATGCAGACACAGCCAGGAAAAATTTCAATCATGTTGGTGGAGACCATTTAACTTTGTTAAATGTTTATAATCAATGGCGCGACTCTGATTATTCAACACAATGGTGTTATGAAAATTTTATTCAGTATCGGTAAATCAGGACGAGTTGTGAATAAATACGCATATTTCATATTATAAAATTTTAGATCCATGAAGAGGGCAAGAGATGTTAGGGAGCAATTAGTTGGTCTTATGCAAAGGGTAGAAATTGAGATGGTGTCAAACGTATCCGAAGTGGATAACATAAAGAAGTCAATAATATCAGGATATTTTTACCACGTTGCGAGACTATCGAAAAGTGGTAGTTATAAAACTGTTAAACAGAATCAGGTACTATTATTTAATTTCAAGTTGTCACCAATAATTTATTTGATATTATTTTAGAGTGTCACCATTCATCCCAGCAGTGCTCTCTTTGAGGACTTGCCTAGGTGGTTGTTGTACCACGATCTGGTATACACCACGAAAGAGTATATGCGCGTTGTAATGGAGATCCAAAGCAAATGGTTGTTGGAGGCTGCACCTCATTATTACAAACCCAAGGAATTGGAAGATTCGACGAATAAGAAGATGCCTAAGACTGTTGGCAGAAGTACAAGAACCGATTGAAATAAATCTTTATATTGTTTTCCGTGTACATACATTATTCTTATATGATAGGAATATTTATTGAACCTACTTTGATTGGACGAATTCGTCACGTCTTTACACGCATCCTACATATTAAAAGTAAAATGCTCTATCATAATAAATGTAAAACATTAAACATGTACATAAGATGATAAAGATAATTTATTCGTATTTAAATATAATTTAACATTAATTATTAAAGCTAATTCAAGATATATCTAGTAGTAATTTAAATTATGTTGAAAGTAAGCAAGGCATTGTCTTATATTATTATTGTTCTTATTGCCTTTTTGTTGCCTTTTCCTTCTTCTTGTCCTTGGGTGGTTCGTCCTTGCTTGGTCCTGCGACGGCAGTGGCATGCGGACTCGAAATAGCCAAACCGCCTTCACCTACTAAAGCTGTTCCTCTTGGACCAGCAGAAGCAACACCACCAACTCCAGCCAAAGCGATTGCCCCAGGCTGTGCTTGGGCTACACTAGATTCAGCTGGTTTTTCAGTTTGACTCTCAACAGCTGCAAAACGATTACACGATAAAACAAGTTAATTACTGTAATCAGCTATACTTACTTTCCGATTCATTATCGGGTGGTAATGTTGCGTCTTCGTATTTAGCATCGATTACTATGGAATCGGAATCATCGTCATTAGATCTGAAGTAATCATAGGCGATTCCAGGATGAACATTTCCTTCGTATATGGGCAACGGCTGTTCGTCTTGCTCAATCTTCTCCGAGTACCTTGTGTGCAAATTATATTCTTCCGGCGAGGATTCTTTCTTCAAAACAACGGGCAATAAGTGTTGCTGGCTGATCACTTGATTGTGCAGCTGTAACGGCAGAATATCTCTTAGCAATTGACCGCCTTTAGATTCTTCGAAATAATTGTTTTGCTTCAATTCTTCAGGCGTTGGTTTCAATACGTGAATCTTCTCTGGATTGGGCAAAATATTTTGCTGGGAATAAAAGTATGGTGGCAAGCTGTATCTTTGTTCTGGCGAATACTGATCGACGAAAGGATAATTGGCGAATAGATGTTGTCCGTTTAGGATGAAAAACCGTTGACCTGGACGAAGGTTAGAAGTGGTTGGCTTCTTCGGTCTCTTAAGCGTCACCTTTTTCGTCGGCTTCTCGGTGGGATTACTCTCTTCCGATTCCTCCAATTCATACTTTTCTGGCTTAGTAGCTACAAATTTAATAACATTGCTTTTTATTTATCTATAATAAGTTGACTTTCTCCCTTTTTTTGAAAAAAAAAAAAGTTTTGAAGAGAATGCCTTTCCATTCTAACAGCAATTATGACATAATACTGTGGATATAATTATTGCTTTAATTTAATTGATAATTACTTCCTACGGCGTACACGATTATCGAGAGCATAAATTAAATAAATGAAAGACAATCGTAATGCGATTAGTGTTTTGTAGAATCGGTAGCATTTCTATGCAGCACGCATGATGACAATGACCCAATGCGTTTGGTAGCATGTTTTTACAGAGAATATCAATTAAAATTGCGGCCGCATTTTTCATAGTCTCTAAATAATCAATGCCGATACTTTATGCCAGAATGGTTGGACGAGTTACTTACTTGGTCTGTAGATTGGTTTGTTTTTCAAAATGTTTGGAATTTCCTCAGCATCTTTTTCGACTGGTGGAACGAAGGCCGGTTTGGGGAATCCAGACACGAATACTGGTCTTTGACCTGCGAATCCATTGGTCCTAAAGATATTTGGATCAAATCCAGGCTGCGGATGCGGCTGCGGTTGAGGTATCAAGAAGTTACCTGGCCCCAAGTTCGGATTTAAAAATATGGGTTGATCGTGACCTCCTAGCAACACAACCGGAGGTTGCACAGCAAATCTATACAATTTACAAAATTTGTTACAATTTAAATACAAGAATACAATTTACTTAAAACAATTAGAATGCGGTTAAATCGCCGCTCATGTTCATATGTATGGGAAATAGGACGTGTTTAGTGATGCAATGCAGCTTCGAGCTTTAAAAATGCACCTACACGAGATATTGCCTCACAGAAAACTAGTCAATAATATTATACATTGGCTTGTAGCATTTTAGTAATACTTAGAGTACTTATTTCACGGTTAAGTAAATCTTGAAAGTTTTGTTACGTACCCTCGATCGTTCGGAGCCAAATTTGGATAATATCCATTGTATTGAAATTGTGGATTTATATATGGATTGTATTGTATTCCTCGGAATGGATCGCCGTAAGTGATCTGCTTCGCTTTCTTCTCCTTCGGAACATCCTCTTCGCAAATGATACTTTGCGTTATTAGAAATAGAACGCACAGAATGCGCAGCATTTTCCTGAAACAAGACATTTTCTTGTTGTTGTTAACATTTTAAATGCATCAGAATGTTTGCAATACAAAATGAAAAATATAATTAACCGTTTCCACATCTAAAAATCGCTATGCTTTCGTTTTCCCGTAATGGCAGCGTATTGAAACATTACAAAAAAAAGTATGTCATCGCAATAACATTCACGTAAGAAGATGAATAAATATCAAAGTATTAAATCTAGTTAAACATGTTTATCGTTAGTTACTTTTGTCTGCTTAGAATCTAATTTCAGTGTCCTTCCCTTATTATTCACTCAATTATAGTTTTTTTTTTAATTCAAGGTTTCTGAAATTTCGGACTCAAATTATTCCATGATTTTATTGACATTTTTATTAACAATAAAATATCTTAATATATACTTTATACATTTACATTCTAAAAGTATATTGATTCAATTTACACAAAAGATGATTTAATTTAATTGAATATTAATAACTGACACTGTACGGTTCCGTCGAACTGGACCCAAACCGGACTAATCGAGGAATTTAATATCGCATGTAAATAAAATGCACAATAAGAGACTTGACTATATAAAGGAAAAAAAAAACGTTAATTTATATATATAGAAAAAAATGTCCTGGGCAAAAACTAATTTTGTTTATTATTAATTTTGTGTATTCAAACTTGAAAATTAATATGTATTAAACAATGAAAAATAGCCCAAAAAATTAATAATTAAATACATATAAAAGTCTTGTAGACCTGTTTCATAGAAAACTAGTACAATGTTGAATATCGATTTATCTGGTTATAAAATATGGTATACTTAATAAAATAAAGTTACAATAAATTAGATAAGTTATGTATATTATAATAAACAATAGAAAGTAATAATTGTAATAATCGAAACTGGATTGCTAAATATAATTTGCATACAAGATATAATATGATAAAGTGCACTATTTAAATGGACTTAGCAGATTTTGTTTGTAACAATTCTACATAAATATTTATATGAATGTAACAATTGTAAATTTACATGAATAAATCGATGTTATATTTATTTATATATGAATTAATCAAATTATTTTTTTGTCATTATACAAATAAATTACTGTTACAAAGAGCTACTGATATCAAATCTTGACTTTCTACACTTTACGAAAGTCTTTATAATATGAATTATTTTTGTTTTGTATTAAATTTTGAATTGGAATAATCAATATTTATTTGACTAGCAGTATATTTGTACAGAAAATTATATTTTTTTCTTAAGTAATTATGAGTTTCACTATGACTAAGGGGAGGCGCGAATATAAATCACAGTGAGTAATTTTCCAAATGTCTGCTAAAGTTTTGTCTATTTTATTTAGATTTAGAGTTTAGAGGTTTGTAGGCGCCAAATGATTAAATATTTTTAAAGGAGGGGTTGTAACATCAAGTTTGGAAACCACTGATCTAATATATTTGAATTATGATACGCAATTGAATATATTCACCTTCAATTCATATGTAATTACATAATTAATAAAATGTTATTCTTATATAATTTGACTGTCCCATTTAGAATATCTTAATTTAGAATCTACCAGAAGAACAGTTATTAAGACGTCACAAGGCACGCTATGAAAAATGTAATGATATTTCCAAGAAAAAAAAAAAGAGTTATGTGTATAAAAAAATAATAATATAAAAATGAATTAGTCAACGGCATGTGAAGTTTTTATTAAAGTACAAATGCATTTCGGAATTATTCTTTGCAAAAGTACGTAACGAATTTGGGTTAAGGATTATTAACAGAAAGTCGCATAGATGTAAAGGCTAAAATTTAATTTCTGTTTCATTAAATGTACATTATTTTGTTCAGTGAAAATGTTAATTGCGTTAATGGACGTTTTTTTCTGGTGATAATTGCAATATAACTAACAAACAAAAGAAACGTAATACAAGGTTCCAAGTGTATTTCGCGTGTTTTCACATGTAACTGTACATTTATTCACTTTATATTCGTTTGGGTCGAATGTATCTATTGACTTCATAAACGATTCTTCTTTGATTTAATTGATTCCAAATTTACTGTTGTAACACTTGTTTTGTTTCTTTAGTTAATGAAACTGTATAATATCAACGCATAATTTAATGTTATTCATGTATTATATTCATAATACATAATCCTTTGTATAAAAAAGATAAAGTTTATTAAAGTAGTAACATAAATTTATTAAATGCATGTTCCTATGCACATCCAAAGGGCTATTGACCTCTATCTTTCTGCCCTTCTATAATGATTATTGTGATTATAAAAAAATAATGATTAGTATTAAAATGTAAATGTTGATAATTATTGTTTGAAAACCAATATAATTTAATGTTGTTCTAGAAAAAAATGCATTTCAGAGTTACAATTGATGGAATAAACGAATGTTTATGAAATGATAATGGAGAAACTGGTTAAAATTATAATAATAAAATATTGACTTACGAGTATATACGTTTTTAGGTCTAGCAGAACTAACAGCAACTAACTAAGAATAGTGAGTAGCTTCTTCTGCGGAACAACGACCTTTCTTATAGACTCCTGCAAGTGGGGGAGCAAAACTAAAGCAACAATAACACCAAACATTCGTACACACTTCTTACTCATACTCTGCACATACTCCTCGTACAAACACACACACAAGCACTAATGATCGAACTGGCAAAACTTTTTGATTGCATATTTCCGTCGATACACCGTAATTTAAAGTTTTTTTTTGTTATAGGCCAATTATCATTTCTTCTGGAATTCGCTATTCGCTATTTGTAGTAGCGACATAACAGTACTTTACATAATTACCGAACGATTTTTTTTGGATCATAATTCCTCCTTTTGTATTTGATTTGCCGTATCAATTTGATACAAGTTTTTGTGTTGATCAATTTAATTATGTACATATTGTATTTGCCAAAATAACATGAACAGTTAGAGATTTGTATACAAAGATTAATTTAAAACCGGACTAATCGAGGACTTTAAAAGAGAGGAAAACAATTTAATGTTTATTTTTTCTCAATGAATTCGTTTTTTTAAACCATATTATAGTGAATCCGCACAGATTAAATTTGTAAAGATTAAATTAATTTTAATTATCGAGTAAAACATTTTGTCATTATTGATTGTGATCGGATGATTCACAATTGTTGTGGTTTGCTGATTCAGTTTAGAATTTTTTTTTTGGGATCTTTCGAATTCTTCGGAAAACTGTTTCCCCGATGACACGGAATAATAAGAACAAAGACAAGCATACATTAAAATCGAACAAACACATTTAAATATGATAAATAGATCGTTTCAAAGACGACGGTTTTTTTTTTTGTACAAATATATTTTCCTCTTCATCATCGTCTCATTTGCATTCTGGTAAGCGCACTTTGGGTAAAGTGACCTCTATTTATGTTTATAAAGTTAGAACATAATCATTTTGCCATGATTGCATTGTTACACAGATTGCGGTTGGAAAAGAGAAGCAAAAAAAATAATAAATTATAATCCAATATTTTCGTTTCATCCCACGCTGTCTGCAAGAAAACAGTTCCACTCCCTAAAAAAGATTCCTAAATTTATTCATTAAGCGTAGATGAAATAAATCTCCATATTTCGTAAATATACACATCGGAATATTTGAACGGCGTGATATTATTCCGTTTGAGACACTTATAAACAAGATTCGAATTTAGATACAGTAGTAAAATAACATAAACATAAAGCTTTTCTCGTTCAATGTTTTGCAATGCTCTTCCATTTATTGAAATTCCAGGACATTATATAAGTACATTTTAATATAAGTAATTATTAATATAAAAAATACAGTTATTACATCCGTTGCGTTTTCTATTTGATCAATTAACTTTAGAATACGCAAATTGTTCCGGATTCATACGTTTTTAGAGAAAATCGCAAACAGTCAGTGTTAAGTTGAGGTGACACCATTTTGCATGAATTAATCTGAATGAGCATTAAATGGAAAAGAAATATCGCTAAATAATACAATTAGGTTTCTTTCCTAACTGTGTATTGCTTTTTAAATAACAATAATGCGAGAAGAATGTATGAAATAGAAATTTAATGTTTAATAAATATTTGTTTTTTAACTTTCAATTGAATTTTTGTATTCGTACTGTCACGTAGAATGTTATCAAAGAAAAGATTCACTTGCTTAT